GGAGAGCGGCCGGCGCTGTGGGCTCGGACCTTGCGGACCCGAGCCGGACCCGTGCGGTGCGGCAGCGCGGCCCTGGATGCTGCGAGGACCGCGTGTGTCGCTCCAAGTGTGCGGCGAGCTCAGAAGTCCGTTTTGATTCGTGATCAGCCTTGCCCTCCGAGCCCCGCGTCTCCTGCGAGCCGTGCTGGGCGTGATCCGAGTCGTGCACACTCTCTGGGTTCATCTGCTAGCACCCCTGACTAGCAGCTATTTGTAATCCTACAAGTATAGGCAGGGTTTATGTGCTTAGATTTGGTGTAAGCAAAAAGATACAGTCTCTTGTAAAGGTTGAGTTCACACAGAGGGAAGAATGTACATGCTTGTCTCTCCGAGTTAGGAAAGACGTGTCCACATCAAAGGAAAGGAGCAGACCGAGCTTCAGGTGAGAGGCCACCTCGGGTGTCCCCTGTCTGGCAACTTCCCAGTTGACTTTTTTTTTCCTCCAAAAATGCAGAGTTGAGTGTATGGGGATGTTGTTCTGTCTTGTTTTTTAGACCGTGTTGGAATACTCTGGTTTCTGGGCATGATCTCAAAGACACGACTTTTGAGTTGAATAATTCCCTGCCACTGACTGTTTTGTGACCTCGCAGAAGACCTTGTCGTCCTCTGACTTCACTTTTCCTTCTGGAAAAGGACAACAAATTAGGACCCTAGTGACCTTTTCTAATAAGAAATAACCTTTAACCCATTAATGGGTTTCCAAGCCAATCGATAATGTAAATTATGATCTGATACTTCACACTTAGTTGCTTTTCTTTCTTGCTTTTTTTTTTTTTTTTTTTTTTTTTTCAGGTTTTCACTTTGCAGTTCAGGCTGGCCTTGAACTCACTTTTGTAGCCCAGGCTGGCCTCGAACTCTCAACGATCCTCCTGCCTCAGCCTCCCAAGTGCTGGGATTACAGGCATGCGCTACCATGCCCGGCTTAGTTGCTTTCCTAACTATTGTGTTTTTATCGTTGCTAGTATTAACTTTTTTTTTTTTTTTGGTAAAGGAAGATTCTTAAATTTTTTTAAAAAAAAGAAAAGGAAGATCCTTGGAGTTTGGTCATCGGCAAAATATTTCAAGTTAAACTTTCTGGTGGCTGCCATCAATTCCTGCTGACTTACACAGTGATGCTCACGTTCAAATGGACCTTGGCCTTTATCTGATCCAGCCCACCCACCTCCTCAGTATGATGAGAAAGGAAAATGGTTCCTTGTTATTCATGAACGAGTCACGGTTTGAAAACTCGGGGGAACTGGTTGCTGAATTGGTCATTTTAACGTTCTCTCTGGCCCCCAAAGGGGCCGCCTCTTTTCCTCCCTAGTTAATATTTAAGTCTGTATCTCAGCAGTAGTTGACTTTTTATCCAGAGGAGTAGACTACTTTTTCCCAAACTCTCCAGGCTCCAACCCAAGTGTACCGATTCAAGATTTCCTGGAGAGACGCCTGGTAATTGGAATGTTTAACAGCTGCCACAGGTAGTCTTTTCAAGCACATTTGGGGCTCTTTCTGCCCCAGGATTGCATCTCAGAATGCAACCCAGGGGTTGCATCGCAAAGTGCAGTTGGTGGGCAGGCCTTACCAGCCTGACCTAGGGTCATGTCACACGGCAGAGTCTCTCTGTGACCTGGGGCCTGCTTAATCAGTATCTGCATTTTGAACCTTGTGCACGTTTACAGTTGAAAAGCCTGGAGTGGATCATGGTGAATGAAGGTTATTGGTGCTCTGTGCTGAGCCTGCTTCTGAGAACTGGTGATATCTGCTCACCGTTTGTGATCGCCTTTGAGGGGTGTGTGTGTGTGTGTGTGTGTGTGTGTGTGTGTGTGTATGTATGTGAGAGGATCTCACTCTGCAGGCCAGGCTGTCCTTGAACTTCCAGTGCTCCTGCCTCAGCCTCTTGAGTGCTGGGATCACTGGCATGTACCAGTGATCATACCATCCACCATACCTGAATCTCTAATTGCCTTTTTTTTTTTGTACCAGAAATCAAATTTAGGACATCATGTCTGCCAGACAGGCGCTTGTGCCACTGACCTAAATCCCTGACCCTGAATCGTGTTTTTATTCACCTTGTACAGATGAGGCCCCCAGCTTTAGGGGCCCATGGGCCCACCATGCTGGGGGAGCAGACATTTGCACCCAGGTGCATGTGACTTAGTGGAGCACCTGACTTTTGCTTCGTGCGTGCTGCTTTCCCGACCTCCTCTTGCCTCTTGCACACCCAGCACAGGCTGCTGTCTAAACTCAGAACAAGCCTGTGGAGTGAACTTTCACCTTAGGTCTTTGCAAAGCTGGTGTAGTGTGGCTCAGGACGTCCGAATTTGGCTTCTTTATTTGGTGTTCATTTCAAGGTTTTCTTTAAGGTTGGTTGAAGTGCCGCTAGCGGCTATGGTGTGATGGTCAGCAGGGGTTTCTGATGTATGGGGTTTTTATGGGACAACCAAACACTTAGGAGGCCCCCCCAGCCCCATTCCATAGGAACAGGGTAAAGCCCACTTCCCAGAACCCTGAAGTTCAGGTGCAGTAACTTGCAGAGGCCTGACTGATGGTGAACTCTTGCCTCCTCCAGGAGTATGCAGTGCCCACCCTAAGCTCCAGAGAGTTGCCTTTTACGGAGCGCAGCAGCACCATGAAATCCAATCCTGCCATCCAAGCTGCCATTGACCTCACAGCAGGGGCTGCAGGTAATTTCAGAGAAAACCTAGTCTTCTGTATTCCTCAAGTACTGTCTCAGCAAGATCCAGGGACAGGGGTATGAAAATATTCCTTGTCACCCCAGAAGTAATATGTTTTAATCTTGGAGCAAATCTATTTAATGGAAGTGTAATATTGTTCAGAGCATGGCAAAAGGTAATTTCTGTTGTATTAAAACTTTTAGTAAGCTGGACGTGGTGGCGCACGCCTGTAATCCCAGCACTCGGGAGACTGAGGCAGGAGGATCGTTGCGAGTTCGAGACCAGCCTGGGCTACAAAGTGAGCTCCAGGCCAGCCTGAACTGCACAGCGAGACCCTGTCGCAAAAAGACAAAAACAAAACAAAACAAAACAAAACAACAACAGCAAAAAGCTTTTAGTAGGGTAAAGTGCTGGGGTGAGAACATCCCTAGCACTGCTGGGAAACAGCTCAGAGACGAAGTCACTCGTTCGTTGTCACACAGGTAGGGTGTACAAGTGACCTTGGATTCCATCCAGTCCTGGACCTTTTCAGCTCCTTTGCAGTGCAGAGATAGCACCATGCTCTGTCTGTAGGAAATGCTGGCTACTAGTCTGGGTGCTGGGAGAGGAAGGATGGTCTGCTTTAGAAGGGATACATATTCCATGTGTCTTAGAGCCAGGAGGAAAGGAGAGAGGATAGGATTTTTTAGGGATGGTCAGCTAAGGCAAGCCCAAAGGCAGATGGGAGCCAGTGCTAGCCACATGCTGGTCATTGCATTAGAAGCAACGCAGGCATAAGCTAGGCATGGTGGTGCATTTCTGTAATCCCAGCACTCTGGAGACAGACAAACAAATTTGAGCCCAATCTGGGCAATTTAGCAAGCCGCTGTCTCAAGTAAAAAGGGCTGGGGATGTAGCTCGGTGCAAAGGTCCTGGGTTCAATCCCCAGACCACAAAGAAGAGGAAGAAAAAAAGGGCAGGCATACCAGGAAGCTCAGCCTGAAGCTAGCTGTGGAATTGGACTGATATGGTGTGGTGGTCGTTTAGCTTTCCAGAAGAGTCCTGTGCTATCTTAGGACCTGCATTGCTCACTTCCTGAGTGAACCTGTGGCTCCCACACTGATCCCTGTGAGGATTGCAGCTTCACAGGCTGAGCAGGCCAGAGGGCCATGTTGCCCAATGTGCTCTTATGCAGTGGGACCTCCTGGGTCAACAGATCAAGAGCAGTTAAGGGGGCTGTCACCTCTCACCCTGTCCTTTGCCCAATTGGTTTCCCTTTTGGAAAACAATCAACGATTCTTCACCAAGGTAGCCTAACAAGGAAGGTTGAAGACAGCATGTTACAGGTACTGACAAGGAGCCCCAGGCAAGGGCACCACTCCCAGGTTAGAGACCACAGGAGTGTTCAGCCTGAACGGCAGGCCTGAAGGTTGGCAGGTTCCGCCCCTGCAATCTCGCGCCCTTTGGTCTTGTGTCTTTGGATCTGTCCCCCACACTGCATGGGGAAGAGCTGCTGCTCCCCACGCCCCGGGGCCCCGGCCCAGGTGGAAGATGGTGGCTGGGTGTGGTGTGCGGCCCCTGCCGGCCCCTGCCTTCTCACCATCAGAACACCCTGGGCATGGTCTTGTCTCGGGAGGGTGGTTAGCCACAGTGAGATTCTCAGCTTTTGGCATTTTCTGTCCTTCAGTCTGTCTATCAAAGACCTAGGATCTGTTGTGATATAGTTAAATAGCATTCAAGTATTTGGACACCATGCTTATACTTCAGTCAGTTTTAATGTGGATGGCAACCGTTTTGGCAGGAGCCTGGTATAGAAGACATTTGCGGTGGGCATGTTTTACTGAATTCCACCATTACCACCTGTCGTACATGTGGGCTCTTTGTGTCCCTGACGGCTCTTTGTAGGTGTTTCTCCCAGTGCTTAGCAGTACAGGGACGCCCCTTGCTAAGGCAGAGTTGCCCTGGCTGCAGCTTCCAAGGCCCGCGAGCTCCAGTGCAGGGGCAGGGGGCCTGCGTGGGGACTGGTCAGAGAAGGTACCCGTTAGTGACATGTGGAGTCCAGTCTGCTGTGAGGTACCCAGAGTACAGATGGAAAGCAGCATTGCTACTTCCAAGGGTCCTCGTGTCCCTGGCTAGTATGGCTCCTTACTTTTATGGTATAATTACATAACGTTCAGGTATTTGATAGCACTCAGGTATTGTGATATAATTAAATAACATTCTGAAAATTTAAAGCACGCATTTATAGGGAAAAGCTTTCACTGCAAGAGAAAATGAAGGGAAATACAGCTCTGGCAAAGATCAAGCCAGTACCCTAGCAAAAAAGTAAGAACAAATAGGACAAGACTCCAGCTTGAGCCACTGGAGGGAGCACAGTCTGATATAGGGGGTCAGCTGGCCACCCAAAAAACTAGGAGCTCACTTTTTAAGGGCTGGCTGAGGTGGGACAGGGCCCAGTCAGTTAGCTCAGTCCTGGCTTTTTAGCTCAGGTGGAATCCTCATGACTTGAGGGGCAGATTTAATTCCCATGGGAAGAATTCTAATGGCTTGAAAGGCAGCCTCAGTCGTGTGCGGCTGTGCTGGAATCCAAGATGACATAGGTTTAGGATAGTGCAGATTTCTGGCTGCCTCTGTGAATGTCGTATTCTGGTTTCTTCCATTGTGAAGGACAGTGAGATAGACTAGGTGAATTTAGGGCTGATAAACCTTGATCTGCCTTCTTTTAGACACTCCTTAAATGACTAGCCTGTCTGTATGCAGAGCTGAAAAGAATCTGACCCAGAGTTTCCCAAAAGGAAGGTCAAGTTTTGTTCTACTTTTACTTGCACGTTGGACATTTGTAGGCCCAAATGAAGAGTCACAACTTCTAGCAAAAACCACATTTAAGTCCCTGACTGCCTCAGAAAAAAACCACAAATCATGCCCTGTGAGGGCAGCCCCCTTCCTGGAGGTGAAGGAGTAGCTTGGTACCTCCGCCGCCCTGGTGTTTGGGCGTGTAACCTGGTACGGTCCGGGATTTTTCTGGCAGGAGCAGAGGACCCCTAGTGCTTCTAGCCAAAGCCCACCCACTGGAGTGATTCATCTGTGAGCCCAGAGGCGGCTGTGGTCTGAGGAGCCAGGGGTGGAGCACAAACGTGTTGCTCTTTGTGTCTCTCCTTGTTTTAAACAGACAGGTTTTCTGTCCAACTCTTTTCCTCTGAAGTGCCAAGAGGTTGTCACTGTCCCTGTCTGCACTTGCCGTAGGAGATTCCAGGAAAGGATCTCAAGCCCTAGACCAGTGGGACGGGGCATTTAAAGAAGATAAATAATTGAGTAACTATGGGTCCGAGGCCAGGTGTATCCCAAAAGTGAAATCTCCTTAAAGGGAAACCTGGGTAGTACTTTAAGAGTTACGTTAGGGTCTCTGACACTGTAACCCAGCCAGTGCTCTGACACCTCCGTTGCGGCGAGCAATGATTGTAGTTGGGGAATGGGGTTATTTATTATTTATCCTCTCAAATGCCAAAATGAAAAACTATTCAAAAACCTTTTTTGATTGGAGCAGCCTGAAAACAAAGTGCTTCCCTGCCCTGTTAAAAGGCACCGTGATTGGTTGAGGGCTGTGAGGTTCACCTGTCCCTCCGAGCCACCCCTTCTCCATCAGTACTGCTCTGCCCAGGTAGATGGCTCAGTGCCCGGGGATTCACGCCCTGTGTGTGAGGAGCTGACAGTCTGAACGTTGCCCTTGGTTAAACATGAAATGCCACAGTCTGGGCACCTCTCCTGCAGAGTGAGGGGCTGACAGCTGTGACGTGCAGAGGTTCTTTTCATTTGTCTCTGTAAGAGAAAAACATGATTGGAATTCTGGCTTCTACATAAGTAGGGAAATATTTGGTCCCTGTAGTTATCCTTGGCTTTATGCACTTAATGGAACTCTGAGACTCTATGAGGTGTTGGACCCGGCAGCTGGTGTTGGTGTTCTGAGTAGTCACCACTCACGTGAAAGGGCAGGGTGGGACCAGGTGGGGTAGGGTAAGTTACAGATGAGGGGCGGAAATGTGCATTTTGCCCTGCACTTGCCTTCCTGCTTCTCCCTGTTAGAAGTGGAGTTGTCACAGATGCCTCGCAAATGTGTATTGTAGTAACCTATGTCTGCCCCTTTCAGGCATATAGAAGCTTCTCAGGTCTCAGGGAGGGTAGTAAACATTAACCAGTGGCTCTTTTCAGAACATTCACCCCGGTCCAGGATCTGGCGTTATTATGGGATAATCATAGTTCATTCTTATTGAAGCAATCTAATACAGTCTGTGTGATATTCTTACAGTATGAAAACATATACAGACTATGCTGAGCACTGGTAAACTTCAGTGCATTTGTGCTAAACAAAGATAAGTTTCACTTGATTCCTTAATACATATTATTAATTGGTAGGGCTAAAATTAAAAAGCATTTTTCATAGGATCAAAGATTTGGCACTCCAGGGATTAGCCAAGCTCCTGTTTCCTTCCTGGCATTTAGCACTCAATGATTTTTCTGATAGTTACCGTAATTCAGGGACTTAGGCAAAAAGGAGTGACCATCTCTTCCTAGGTTTGCCCCCTCCCTCGGTGTGGCTTTTGTCCCACCCACAGTCCCCGCTGTGGATCAATCAACCACCAGTAGAGCAGGCGGTCTTCATTTTCCTTTAACTTCATGCCCACCCTGGGAAATGGGTGAGGAGCAGGTGCTCACAGTCACATTCCCTGTCCAGGAGTCCACAGGAAGTTGGGCTCCAGCTCTGACTGCATTGCTGTCTCCTAAACATGCCACACCTTTGCAGCTGGACTTGGATTTGGGGGCGCCAAGAGTGTGAGGCCCTTAAGGGTGGGACTCAGGTGCCAGGCCCCGCTGTAGTTGTGTCCTGGACTCAGCTAGGTTTGAGGAGTAACATGGTCAGAAAGAATTTGTAAATTGCCTGGGTAATTCCTCCCGGGGTGGGCCGCGGTACCGCGTTCCCCGATGACTGAGGAACCTGTATGTTCTTGCATGCATTCCAGGGGGCACGGCATGTGTACTGACCGGGCAGCCCTTTGACACGATGAAGGTGAAGATGCAGACGTTCCCCGACCTGTACCGGGGCCTCACTGACTGCTGCCTGAAGACCTACTCACAGGTGGGGTTCCGTGGCTTCTACAAGGGCACCAGCCCAGCGCTGATTGCCAACATTGCCGAGAACTCGGTGCTCTTCATGTGCTATGGCTTCTGCCAGCAGCTGGTGCGGAGAGTGGTTGGACTGGAGAGGCAGGCAAAGCTGAGGTGAGTCCGACCCAGTGCCTTGTGCTTTTTCAAAGATACTAACATTGTTGTATGGCCAGCCTTTGAATGGTCGCTCACAGGAGGAGCGTTTTCCTTCTTAAAATAAGTACCTTCTTTTTGATGATGGTGTCATAAGCTGTCTTGGGGTAAACCTTGGAAAAAGCATATGCATTGTACAAAGGAGAAGCACCCCGGAGGCTGGTGCTGGAAAGACCCGCCCTGGCAGTCTGGTATCTTTGGGAGGAAGCTTGTCCAGTGGGCGGAAGTGCTGAGCTGAAACCATAGACGCAATGTGGGACCCAAGTTTTAGGTTCCACTTCTTCCGCATGGTGCAGAGTGTTGGAAGAGGTGCCCTGAGACAAATAGTTTCAAAGAGGAATATGGAACTTTAGGAGGTGTTGGAAACGTAGGCAAATGCTGGTGAGCCCCTTACATTTTGACCCAGTCTCCATCAAACGTCAGAGTTTGGCTCGTGCTTGGTCTCTCCCAGGATGTTATACAGAGACCAGACTGTTCAGAAACCACTGGTGTGTCGCGTGAGCACCTGTTTCTCTGCCTGTCCGATACAGAGTACGCACCTGCTTTGCTTCTGTCAGTGAGGGCCACACAGACGCAACATGTGTGAGCTCCTTAAGTAATAGCCACCCCACCTTCAGTCATTTACAGTTCTTACTTGGCTTGAGTTGCAGAAGGCAGTCTGTGGATTGATCTGGTTGGAATTAAAAACCCTGCTGTGACTGATGTAGGCTCTTTGTGTACTAAAGTGTCTCCAGAGACAGGTACAGGACTCAGACCCGCCCTTAGAGAGACAGCAGTTCTCTCCTGGTGGGTGGAACTTTGTTTCTAAGGCTCGGGACTGGATAAGATGGCCCAAGGCGACAGTACAGGGTAGAGAGGACAGCTGAGCTCTAGAGAGGACAGCTGAGCTCCGGCGGGAAGGAGAGAAGAAGTAGAGGCAGAGCAGGTGTAAGCCAGAGTGTGTGGCAGCCCGGGTGGAGGCTGACAGAAGCACAAGTTTCCCCTCAGCAGAGGAGACACATTCTACTTGAGGCCTGAGCTCGAGCTCTGCCTTGGGCTCCTTGAGGAGGTTCGGCACAGAAGCGAGACCAGGCAGCAGAGCGCACCTGGGTGAGGCTGTGGTGGAAGAAAGAGGCACTGCCCTCCGAGCAGAGCAGCCCTCCAGCCACAGACAGAGGTGGTGTCCTCTCACTTCTCACAGAAGGGATCAGACCCCGCACCCATTTTATCCCGTGAAGACTGCGGTGCAAGCACAGTGCTTTTGTAATGAGAACCACGAAGTACCCTGTAGCGCTGTTTCCCCCGCACCGCTCCCAGAAGTCTGTGTTGGTGTCCCTGAGAAGGGGTGGGGAGCAATCCGGAGGTGGTTATGTTCTGTGGTATATACAGCATCTTGTTTATTAACACGCTCCTGCCAGCCTGAAGCACTGGTGGTGCATGCATGACCACCCAATGGGACTGTCCCATGCTGCCCAGTGGGACAGTCATGCATGCACCACCCGTGGTTCAGAGCCACCTGGCAGTGAGGCGTGAATTATGGCCCTGTCCTGAACGGGCTAAATATGCTCTGTGGTTCTTCAGGGAAGCAGCTGTTTCTTTTGTTTGTTTGGTTGGTTTTTTTGTTTTGTTTTGTTTTTCCTGGTGCTGGGAATCGAACTCACGACCTTGCGCTTCCCAGGCAGGCGCTGTGCCGCTGAACTAAATCCCCAGCCCCCAGCCATTTCTTTAACGTGATCTGACACAGCACTGCCGGCTTTTCTGGGCCAAGGATCTTTTTCACCCTGAAGAACAGTGTTTGCTGTTGGCTCGGGGGGGGATGCTAAGAGCCTGCTAAGCTCTGGCATAGATGTTGCATCTGCATGGCCCCCACTGTGACCCTGAGAGGATTAAGGCAGGTGTGTCATCTCCGCCTTACAGGTGGGGGAAACCGAGGCACACGTGTTGACAGCTAATGATCACCAGGCCCAGCCATGCCTTGTGGCTCATCCCTGCTCAGTTCTGCTTTCCATGAGACCACATTTGAGGTTCTGGCGCATTTCGTAGGGCTCTAATCCAGAGGGTTTGTCAAGAGCAGTGAAGGGAAAGAACTGCTTGTGAGGAGCTGCTGCGAATTCCCGCAGTCCATTGTAAATATTTGTCTGTTCCTGGTTTGAGCACGACCCAGAGTGATGGTCTGTTGTGACCTTTGGCTAGATGGCGCTTACACAGTGGGAATGCTCAGAGCAGGCTTGTTTGTTTGTTTGGCTGAGAAAAGTCTGCTGAGTAGATGACAAATCTTTGGTTCTTTCAGAACCCATCTCATGCCCATTGCCCTTTCTGTTCCAGTTCTGTGCAGTTAGACCATGCAGAACTGGGTGCCCGAGGGCCTCATTTTGTGTACGGGTAAGTGGAAGTGTTTATTAGAAAGCCAAAGTCCACCGCAGACCTGATTTGGCCTTGTCTTTGCCCTTTAGTAAGGTGCTTGGCGTTCGTTCAGACGTCTGAGCCATCTGTGCGCCGGGGGTTGAGTAGACGTCCACGTTTACTGACTGTCACCTTTGTTCCAGCGACTTGGCGAGCTCAGGTAGTGACCCTAATTGACAGTTCCCTGTCAGGTTGACAGCGAGTACCTGAGGGAGGCCAAATACAGATCTGCAGGCCGACTGGAAGGCAGCAGGAATCATCCTCAGCTTCGGTTTTGAACAGATGAGCCAAGAAGGAATGAGAGGAGGGGGAGGAAGGAGCGAACTGAAACGCACAGGACAGTTTCTGCATGCCAGGCTGACTCTCCTCCATGAGAGGTCTTAGGCTCCATTCTCAAGGTGGAAAGGAAGTCTGCCCTGCAGCTGAGCGAAAGCCCCACTCTGCACTGGCTCTGCTGAGTCCTGGGTGGAAAGGCCAGTTTAGCCCCTGGACACCCACTTGCATCTGGCCATAGCACCAAGGCTAGGCCTCCAGGGAATAGGAAGCAGGGCCCAGATTGGAGGCAGCCTTGGTCTTACGCTGTTTCACACTGCAATGAAGTTATTAGGGGCTCTCTGTAGGGGAATCAGCTGAGGTGACTCCCCTCAGGGCTTTTGGGAATCTGAGGGTGGTCTCAGCTGTCCAGTGACAGCGAGAGGCCAAGACTTAATGAGTGAGTCAGGGAACCAGTTCAGTGGTTCTGCTCATGCAGGACTGTGGCTCCCAGGACTGGCAGTACTTGCAAAACACTGTCTTGGGCCAGAAGAGGTCTTCTTAGAGGACCCCTCCTGGCATCCAGAGGATAGTTGCTCAGACTTTACCCCTGTTCTTTTTTTTTGTCTTTTTGAGACAGGGTCTTGCTACGCAGTTCAGACTGGCCTTAAGCTCACTTTGTAGCCCAGGCTGGTCTCGAACTTGTATTGATTGCCTTACCTCAGCCTCCCAAATGTTGGTATTATAGGCATGAGCAACCACGCCCAGCCATGCCCCTATTCTTGAACTCCTGTTGGACTCTAGTATCACAGCTCTGCTGGTGACTGGGCTCGTGGTACAGTCCCATATGAGAGAATGTGACTGCTTCAATTTTTATATGTGTGTGCATTCATCTCTTTGCCTGGTTTAGATGTCTAGCTTAGCCATTTCACCTAAATCACTGAGTATGTGACTCTTCCTGGCTTCCCCAGCTCTGTGTCCCATGGTCCCCTCCTCTTGCCCTCTGGGTTGTTGAGGCTGAGGAGATACCTTAGTCCACTTTCTGTTCTTCTAACAAAATACCTCAGACCAGATAACATATAAAGAAAAGAGGTTTGTTGGGGCTGGGGATATAGCTCAGTGGCACAAGCGCCTGACTGGCAAGTACAAGGTCCTGAGTTCGATCCCCGGTGCCGGAAGAAAGAAAAAAAAGAAAAGTGTTTTGCTTAGCCCACAGTTCTGCAGGGTCAAGAACATGGCACCAGTACCTGCTTGGCTGTGGTGGGACCTTCTGGCTCTGTCACGGCATGGTGTTGGTGTCATGGTGGGAGTACAGTAGGTGTGACAGGGAGAGCTCATTGGTGTTATAGGAAGCCAGAGGGACTCAGAGGGGAGGCTTGCTCTGTTGATAGCAATCTGCTTTTCTGGGAACCAACTTGAGTCTCGCCAGAGCGACATTAATTCCTTCTGGCAGCAGCAGTGCCCCCAGTGCCCTGACTACTTCCCACGAGGCCCTGCCTCCTAGAGCTTCCACCGCCTGAACACTGCCGCACGGAGGAGCAAGCTTCTGGCACGTGAACCTTTGGGGCACACACTCAAACCATGGCAGGAGGCCATCAGCTAATCAGAAACTTTCTTTTTGCAGTGCAGGTACTTTTGTTTAAAAATTTATGCTGGCCAGACTTGGTAGTGTACGCCTGTAATCCCAGCACTCAGGAGGCTGAGGCAGGAGGATCGTTGCAAGTTCGAGGCCAGCCTGGGCTACATAAATGAGTTCAAGGCCAGCCTGAACTGCATAGTGAGATCCTGTCTCAAAAAAGACATAAATGAATAAATTTCTGCTAAGTTTTCACATGAACAGTACATGTCTGGTTGTTCCAGGTTAGATTTTTGTGCAGGGAGAGATGGCCTTAGAACCTAATTTTACTTGAAGCTTAGTGTGTAATACACTGAAATAGTGATAGTGCATGTTTTGAGTGGTGGGACTAGGGGTGGTTTTTCCCCCCTCTCGGGGTTGTTTAGGCTTTATTTTATACATCACTGTGTGTCTTACATTGGGATACTGTAGAGTAGGGAGGCTGAAAAAACACTGTTTACAGCTCTGGAGGCTGAAAAATCCAAGAGCAAGGTCCTGGCAGATTTGGTGTCTGTTGAGGGTCCACTTCGTGGTTAATGGTGTTTTCTGAGCACATTTTCACAGTGTAGAGAGGGAAAGCTTGTTATCTGCTCCCTTCTTACCAGGGCGCTGATTCCATGGTGAGGGTCTCACCCTCAAAGTCCTAACTCATACCTAACATATAAATCCTCACTTGTACCTGATTGCCTCTCGGGACCCTTCCTCCAGGTACTGTCACACGGGGGGTGGGTCTTCAACGTAGGAATTTGGGGAGCGAACCGCAAACATTCAGGGCGCAGCACCGTGCCTGTAAGCGCAGCATGGATGGGCCGTCAGCCAGACTTGGGTTTGATGGCGCGCCTTCTCTAAGCGTCACCGCTCCAGGGGGGTGTGGGGGTACTGCTGGCTCCTCACGCGGCTGTGCGATCCCTAGCGGCGGTAGCGCACGCGTGCTCCCCCTGGCGCTGCCGAGGATCGCCTGCGCTGATGTCGGCGGTCTTCTCTGCTTGTGCTTTCAGCGACCTGCAGAACGCAGCCGCGGGCTCGGTGGCCTCTGCCTTTGCCGCGCTGGTGCTGTGCCCCACAGAGCTCGTGAAGTGCCGGCTGCAGACTATGTTCGAGATGGAGACGTCAGGCAAGATAGCCAGCAGCCAGAAGTAAGCGCTGTTCAGGCACAAGCGTTAGGTCTCTGTTGCCTTTGTATATTATGTTTAAAATTTTATAGTGTGTTAAAATTAAGGAGCAGAAACAGATTTATCTATGCTAAAGCATTGTGTTTCTCATACCAGTCATAGGATGACTTTCTGAAATGATCATCGGGTGCAGGGGGGGCTGCACTCAGCACCCACCCTATGGGCCATCGGAGGTAGATTTTAACACCCAGAAATGGTGCAGCCTAGAGCTTAGCACCCCTTTTCTTCCCTTGGGTGCATAGTCAATATTTGGAGGCACACAGTAGGCAGCTTTTGAACTGGATCTGTGAGCTGAGCCTTCCTAGGTACTGAGTTGAGTTCTGTGATGAATATTGGATGCCTGTTCCCAGGCTTTACATGTGTGTTCAGGCTGATGACTCCAGATCCCAGTGGTGAGTTCCTCTGCTTCCTTCCTGCCTTCCCTAGTCTTTCTGGTGCCCCTGCGAAGAGCCTGTGTTCTGAAGACATTCTTCAAAACCCATGTCAGCCCACAGCTGTTCTTCAATGATGAAATGGCCCTGCAGCTCTGCCCTAGAGTGATTTTCACATATATATGATAGTGTTATGATTTGTGTCTGGATGTCCCCCCAAAGCCTCATGCAGTCACGAGGGCAGGCTTCTCAGAGGTGTCTGAATCTAGAGCGTGTGCTGCTGGGATTAAGGGTATGTGATCGGTTCACTGATTGGTTTGGCACCTGCCTAATCCCAGCAACCTAGATAGAATGTGAAAGGGGCAGGAAGACATTGTTAAGGTCTGGTTGTTGCTTTTGCTGTCTTCTTCCGCCATGAACTGTTGCCCCTCTGCCATGTGCCACCCTGCCTTGGAGCCAGCCAGTTATGGACTGAAACCTCCACAAACTGAGCTAAATAAACCTTCCCTCCCTTAACTGTGGGCATTAGCTATTTTGTCTCAGCAATGAGAAAAGCAATTAAGACAGATATATAATTTACTTGAATTGAAAAGCAATTTGTTACACTTACTAGTCATAAAACTTATCTATGTTGCTGCCGTTGACTTAAAGCCTGTCCATCTGCTGGAGAAGCCATTGAATGGATCTAGGAGTCTCCTCCCAGCTAGAACGGGCTTCTTAACAGTGCCTGTTTTCCGCAACATTGAGATTCATTGCTGCCACTTGTATCAATTTTTCCTGCCTAGATAGAGGTCCCAAAGTGATGCCCTGAAAACTTTTTATTGAAATGGAACATCCACCAGTGCCGTGAATACACACGCAAATCATAAGTGTGCAATTCTGTAAATAGTCACAGAATGAAGAAGCTTTGTATGAAGTTCCTGGATTCAGAAATAGAATAAAACCTTAACACCACCCAGAAAACTGTCCTCGTGTACCTTAGCAGTAGTTTAAGGTAATTTAAAGATAGTTACGGTTATGTCCAAAGGATTTCAGTGGACATTTTGAGGCACTGTATACACGTGAGTGTATGTGATGGCTCGGGCCAGGCAGGCAGTGCAGCGGGCTGCATTTGTCTATGAAGGGGAGCACTGCCGCCCAAGCGTACAGCTGACAAATGCCCGGTGGTCTTTGTTACCACAGAGCTTGATCCTCCTCCTCTCCTAGCTGAACCCCCTTTTTTGAGAAAAGGTGAGAGGGAAGGCGCTAGGTCACACTAAACATGCGATTTCTTTCCCTTTTCACTGTGGGGATAAAACCTGTTGCAGCCACCATCATGAGAAGAGAGTCTGCTGTCCACATTTATGCTGTGCTTCAGCTGTTCTGGGAGGAGGGCTCTGACCTGCTTCAGAGGAGTTCTCCTGTGCCCCAGCTCTCGAGGGACTCAGTTCTGGGTGCTTTCTGCATGGCAGAAGCTTAGCTCAGCCCTCAGAATTTATGTAGCTGTCAAGTAACATTTGCTCCTTTGCTGGTTTATGTCACTGCCGTCAAAGCAGCAGCAAACACCTGACAAGATTCTCCTGAAGGACACCTCATACTGAAGAGACAGGAATCCGAGGGAGACGGATTGGGAGAACACAGTACTGTCTTCTTCTTGCTGAGTTTGGCTGGCTCCTTACTGTAATTTCAGATTTCACGTACTTACTGCGGAAAGCATGGGTCATAGCTCTTTTTGTATCTTTGATAGTGTGACTTCTAGAAATGTATGTTTTCATTTAATAAACTTTTCTTAAGAATAATTTAAAGTGCCGGGCTTGGTGGCGCACACCTGTAATCCCAGCACTTGGGAGCCTGAGGCAGGAGGATCATTGAGAGTTTGAGACCAGCCTGGGCTACAAAGTGAGCTCAAGGCCAGCCTGAACTGCATAGCAAGACCCTATCTGAAAAAGACAAAAAAAAAAAGAATAACATAGAAATACTTCCGCGTCTGAGATGTTTCTTTCCTACCAAAGGATGGCTTTTTTTTAGATTTGCTGGTTTTTGTTTACAAAATCAAGTACTTTACCTGTGCTTAATCAAGTCTGTTAGCTGGGGGGTGAATGCCCTTGTCCTCTTGCTTCCCTGCCTGTACTAACCTTGTCTCTCACTCTCCTCCAGTACAGTTTGGTCCGTTGTGAAAGGTATCCTTAGGAAGGATGGTCCCTTGGGCTTCTACCATGGACTCTCAAGCACTTTACTTCGGGAAGTACCAGGCTATTTCTTCTTCTTTGGGGGCTATGAACTGAGCCGGTCGTTTTTTGCATCAGGGAGATCAAAAGATGAACTAGGTAAGTATGTTTGCATTGATAGCCTGTGGGTGTTATGGTATCTGTTTCCTGATGTGGTTGCTGCGAATTACCTTTCTGAACTCTCCCTGTGGGGGTCTGCTCAGCACAAGTTTCTGGAAGCTGGAAAGTGATATGGCCGCAGGAGATGTTTAGCACCCTTCCCCCAGGCTTGGTGATTTCCTCAGAACGGGGGCTGAAGCAGTCTATCCAAACTTCTTTACTGGAATAACACTTATTGATTGTTCTGGGTTCATTTTAGAGAAATAGAAATGACTTTTCCCTAGTGAGGAACCACCCAGAACTCTTTCAGTACTTTTAAAATGTGGTAATAAGTCTTGACAGTGTTTGAAAGCAGTGAACACACAAGTCTGACTTGCCCTGTTCACTGCTTAACACAACTTGACAAGTGTTGACTGACACAAGCAAGGTCTGAGCACCTCACTTCTGTGTATTGGATCTGTTACGCAGTTAATCAAGCCCCCAGACTTATCTGGTATGTTTAAATAAGACAGTGTTTTCTTTTCTTTTTAATTTTTATTTTAAAGAAAATAGTACAAAAAAAAAAAAAACAATAGCAAAATACAAACAAAACAAAGTTTTTCACGGTAAAGGAAGGATTGGAGCGTTTGGGCATTAATATATTTACCTAAGGGTGAGAAGACTGTAAAAGATGTGGACTGTTTCTATGGTTCCTGCTTACTCCCTGTGGTGAGGCATTGCCGTGCTGTGGGGGACCTGCTGTTCTGTGCAGACCAGGCCGTGGTCGATAGGACCGGGGGCAGCAGCTCTGGATGACCAGCCTAAACACAGCCCTACCTAGGGCTTCTTGTCCTGGCAAGGCCCCCGCGAGACCCAGACCACCGAAGGGAGCCGTGCATTCTTGGCTGTGACAGTTTTCTCAACGAACAGTGTCCTGTAGCATTAGCATTTTGGTTTTTATCTACCTGTGGCCACTGGCATCTGGAAATGTGCTATCAGCTGTTCGTGAGATAAAATGTCATTTGCTGTTTTTCTTCTCTAGGCCCTGTCCCCTTGATGTTAAGTGGTGGAGTTGGTGGAATCTGCCTGTGGCTTGCTGTGTACCCAGTGGACTGTATCAAATCCAGAATTCAGGTTCTTTCCATGTCTGGAAAACAGGCAGGATTTATCGGAACCTTCCTAAGCGTTGTGAGAAACGAAGGTGAGTCTGCCGACTGCAGAAACAGAGTAGGTAGTACAGACGGGTCACTTCACAGTCTTGTCTGAGGTGGTCAGGTCTGTAATTGCTTTCTTCTCCCTATTTCATATCCCTTTCTAGCACTGCATTATTATTATTTTTTTTTTTGTACTGGGGAATCAAACTCAGGACCCTGTGCTTGCTAGGCAGTAGCACTACATGTTGATACACATTTGTGGCTTTGTTTGTAAAACCCTTGCCGTAGCTCATTTCCATTCTCAAGAAATTTTTTTTTTTTTTTTTTTTGAGAGAGGGTCTCACTCTATAGCCCAGGCTAAGCTGGAACTCACAGTGATCCTCCTGTCTCAGCCTCCCTAATGCTGGGATTACAAGGGTGTGCGATAGCCTGGCTATGAGATGCCTGGCTCTTAAAAATCTTTAAAGTTCATTAGCTCATTCCAGATACCTGTCAGGATTCTTTGTTCTAATCCCTGAGGTTATAAATGCTTGGAAGTAGAATACGGACATTATCAGAAAGTAATCCTGGGGGCTGGGGATTTAGCTCAGCGGCACAGTGCCTGCCTGGCAAGTGCAAGGTCATGAGTTTGATCCCCCATACCGAGGGGTGGGGGTGGGGGTGGGGAGTAATCTCTAACAGGGGCACTTTAAGGCTTTAAAGGAATGTATGACATGCTTAATGCTGAGTTTCTGGGATCAGAAATGGACTGAGCAACTTCGAACCATGTGTGGCTACAATTTTTAGAGTTATGTAGGAGAATGAGGACTAAGTAATCTTGTAAATCTGATTTTATGCAACCTGCCCCTGCTGTCACCACTACACATTAAAACTTGAGTGATGAACTTCTGTTTTGATTTTTAAGAGAAAGAGCACAACACAGAAACAACTTTAATTCATGTCCCAATACGGCACAGATATCTTCTACATTGTTAATAGTGACTTCCCTATAAATATGCATGTTTCATAGTTTTGCAAAGTTAGCAAGCATGCCCCTCCCGCCTATGTAATTCAGTCTCACAGTCCTGCGGGGTGGCGCTCATACAGGAAACAGGCCTTAGACTTCGGTGTAAGAGCTCTTACTGCTGCCTTCAGCTTCATGGTTGCCTCTGTCTGGCTGGGTCAGGCCTCAGCTGTACCTTCCGTTAACCACGCATGGAAGGGGCGTATAGCAACACTTGTTTGTGTTAGTCTGTTTAGGGGACAGGAAGCCAGTCCACCACTTGTTGAGCTTTAGTGCTATAGTCTGGATATCTAAGTGCAAATACTCCTGTTCTGTGCAGCTGCATGGGATGGGTCCTCAGTCTTTGATTGCCCTTTTGTTTTCTAGGAATAACAGCTTTGTATTCTGGACTGAAACCTACAATGATTCGAGCCTTCCCTGCCAATGGCGCACTATTTTTGGCCTACGAATATAGCAGGAAGCTGATGATGAGCCAGCTGGAAGCGTTCTGAAGTGCCTGGTGGGCCTGCCTCCAAAGCGCAGGCGTGAGGACTACTGTTCATCTCAGGGTTTCGTGGAGTACAGGAACAACGTGGAATTATTTTGATTTATTGGGAATTTCCTCTTTGTCGTCCCGTCTACCTAAACCTTAAACGTGATGGAAGCACTTCTATTTTACATCGCATAATTTCTGCCCATAATTGAAAGAGAAAAGTTGCTGCTCTGGCCCTTGATAAAATATACCAGATGGCTTGTGGCCTTGTGTACATAACTTGAAAGGCTGCATGTAGTTGTATTTGGGCATTGTTTATGCATAAAACCGTGTTATACTTGTAGTCTGGATGTTTACGTATAGAGGGAAACACAATTTGGTTCTATGGTTAATCTCAAATATTACCAGAAAACCGAGATGTGACTTTGTGTGTGTGTGTGTGTGTGTGGGTGTGTAAATGGTCATAAATGACTGCTTAATCCGTTCTAGATGTATTTGAAGTCTACTGAACCGCTGTACTCTAAGATGTTAAATGTCTTTAAGTAGTACTTGAAAACTAAAATATTCATGTAGGCTTTTCGTAGCATAGGCCTGCATAGTGGTGTGGCTTCTACATTCTTGATTAAGTTTCAGAGTGACGTTGTGGGTTTTTCCCAAGACGCTTCACTGTTAAAATGGTGCCATTCATTTTCTTGACAGGCTTGTGTTCTGCGCTCAGACTGTATTGCTAGGTGAGTCCCAGACCATCAGCTCTTTGGGAAGTAGCACGGCTCTTACCAACTTCCTTCCCTTCTTCCAGAGATCTTCCCCTGCCCCGGGCTGAGGATAAAGGACGGGCCCAGGGGATGGCTGCTGTGCTTTCGTTATCCCCTGTGAATCACAGCAGCTCCTACCTAATTCCATCTCTTGGTCCTGACCTGGGTAGCCTTGCAGTCCGTCCACTTTAGACTACTCATTTGCCCACCTGTCCTCCTCGGCTTTGCAATGGAAGCTTTTCCTGAGGAGAGTAGCAGAGCTCCCCGTTTGGCGATGCACTGATAGTACTTATGGGTGCAGCTGTGTTCTCTCAAGCACAGTGGAAACAGTGCTTGTAGTTCTCAGTCAATGAGCCCCTCCTGTCCTGACGTTTACCTGGAACCCCTGCCATGCCTGTTGGTGCCTTCTACACTTGGGGCTGGCAGGCAATCCTGAATTTTAGTAACTGTAGATGAGGTACAACTTTATAACCAGTGGAGCATAAGAAAAGCAATTTTGTGAAACTAGCCAACATGTCTTCCTAACCCAGAAAAGAGAACAAATCCCGCTGGTGATCTGATCCACATGGATCTGGGATGAACAGCAGTTCTTTGGAGTTACTGCTGGGAATCAGTCTTGTCACCGCTAAAGAAGCCTCCTCATTCCGGGCTGGTCCAAGACCAGCAGGGTGCTCTCAATAAGAAGTGTTCGTTAGAGGTCTAATGAGTCCTTAGCTCGTATGTCTGTCCGCAGGGGCAGAATGCCAACTCTGGGTGAAACCCCCAGTCTCCTTAAGCTCCCTGCTGTTCGCCAAGCCTCTGGCAACTCAGCCATTGTGCCGGGAGCCAGAGGGTCAGGGAAGCAAGGTGCGTGCTGCCAAGTACCGAGGGCTGGAAGCTCTGGACTCCGGGACAAGGGTGCCTGTCATAGTGTAACTGGTTCTCCGCTTCCTTTTTCTTTTTTTTGGTGGTACTGCAGATGGAACCCAGACCCCAGCTTTGAGCCACATTCCCAGCTCTTTATCTTTTCATTTTGAGACAGGGTCTCCTTAAGTCACTAAGTTGCCCAGGCTGGGTTCAAGTTTGCAGTTTTCCTGCCTCGGCCTCCCAGAACCTCTATTTACTTTTTTTCTTCACAAGAGAACCATTTTTCAACTTTACTTTCCTCTCCATATTTAAATGATCAGTAGCTACTGAGTGGTGCTTCAACTGCAGACCTGGATTGAGATCAAATAGAGAAAAATGGGACTGGCTGCTGGCAGGAAGGGAGCTGCCTCGAGCCCCTGGTCCCCTGCACAGTACCTCGGGGCTGGTCCCAGGGAGTGCGGTTGGCTGCTCTTTTCGCAGATCATCCGTGAATGATTTAATTCATTATCTTCAGTTGCAATTGTCTGAAGCGAGTACAAGTGAGGAATGGAAAAATGAGCAATTTGTTTCATTCTGTCTGGTTAATTTTTGGTTCAGTATGTAGGTACAGTTTGTACCATTTCAGATGTGTACTCCAGACAAAAATATAACTTGATATATTGTGTTTAAAGAAATTTGAGTCTTCTATTAAATTATTTACCTAATGTGAGTCTGTGGTGAGTTTTATTTAAGTATTTTATGTCTGTGTGAAGAACCAATATTAAGAATGAGTTACTCTTATGTTTCAGGTGGTAGTTTTGCTACAACAAGCATTTCTCACCAAGGTTCTGGATGTACAATAATTTCACTGTAGGCAAACTGGCAAAAAAGACCGTTGTTCATATACACTGGAGTTGTGTAATGATCCAGTAGAATTTCTTACTCTACCTTTCATTCTGTTGTTAAAAAAGTTTTGGATAATTTTATTCCAAGTAAGTAAACCTTGTTTAAGGAACCCTGTATCATTCTGATATATTACAGTGTAAATTTCTGAGTTTGTTTAAAGAATTAGTCACTTTGAGTTCTCAGTAAGCAATGCACTAAGGGGCTTGAACAAATTTTTAAGAGCAGAAGGGAAATAGTGTGGCAGCTCATAACTGCCAGAAATTTTGATCAGTCTTTGAGGGGTAGGAGAGAAAAACCTCAATTACAACTTTACTTCTGATGTTCACTCAATTAAGAGTCTTAATTGGCATTTCCATCCTTATTACTTTACTACTGTTGAAAAAAAAAAAAAAAACAACCTCTTCCCTGGGTCAGCTAAGTATTTTTTTTCCTGTTCACCTAAGTCTGTTACATAATCTGCCCTCTGGATAAAAACTAATACATACAACCTGTTTTGCCACAAGACATGTTTTTGTAATTAGAATTACGAAGAAGAACGTTAGCAAGCTTGAGAGTATTGTTTATGCTCTTTCCTTCAAGAGCAGCTGGAGTAAGGGGAGGAAAGGAAAAGCTTGTGGCTGGGTATTTAAGTGGAGGAGCCAGCTTTTCAGGCTTCTGGCTGGAGCATGTTGGTCTTCTGTGATCATGGTCAGCTGTGTGCCCACCCGTGTCTACTTTGGCATCCACGGCCCTTCTCTGTTGTTGCCACTCAAAGGCCAACACCGTGGCAACTTCCAGACTACCAGGGTGCTGACCGGTGTGGTCCAACAGGTTAGTGTGCTGGTAACAAAGCTACTTGTCTACCACATCCCCAAGCCCTGTTCTTATTTTCTTTGTTAGTGTGTGCTTTTTGCAGAGTTCAGGATGTATAAGAAAAGTTATCTAGCCATGCCCTCCATAATGATGTTTCTTTCAATGAGAGGCCACCCATACCATAGTGGTCCTGTGAGAGTCTATGGCCTAGTGACACTGTGTAACTGTCCATGCACGACTGCTGTGTTTCAGCAGAGACACACGTTTTATCGGTTGCTTCTTCTCCTTTCCTCATAAACAACTTGGTCTCCATGGTTGAGCCTTGCCGAAAAAGGACAATCATTCAAATAAGGGCGATTTCAATAAAGCCAAAATAGACCTCTTCAAGGACAGCCATGGCTTTAAGATACAATGGCAGGGAAAGTACTTAGAATAAAGTAGCTACTTGGTACCAAAGAAAATATTAGTGATCTCCACTGGACCACACCGGTCAGCAGCTAATGGTGTTATACAAAAGTAGAAGTCACTGAGGATGTTTTTGTCCTTCATGTTTACCAAGACCCTGTGTATGTGTGATTTTTTAAAATTTAATTTTTGTTTAGTACATGTTTGGGGTACATAGTGATTACATTCATTGTGAGGACTTGGTACATTTGTGAATGGAATGACAGCTGTGTGGTGCTTGAAAGGAAAAATGTGCTGAGGATAAGGGACTGGTGAGTGAAATATTTTTCTTCTCTGGATTTAAAACTTTTCTGTCTATCTGATATAGGTTAACAGTCTGTGAAAATAGAAATTAAGTTTTCTAATAAATCTGCAGTTACAAATGTCAAAGAAGAGAACAAGTATTTACCCAAAAATACATAAGCACATGTGTACTGGTGGGGTCACTTTTTTTTTTTTTTTGAGACAGGGTTTCACGAAGTTGCACAGGCTGGCCTCAGGCTCTCCATCCTTCCACCTCTGCATTCTGAGCAGCTAGAATAACAGGAAGGTGCCAGAGATTACAGTGTTAAAATAGCTCCGTCATTTTGATATGAAAAGTCTGTTACTTCTAAGCTCTTAAAGTAATACCTAATATTCCTGTGTTCTGTGTGTTCCAAATCTATCAAAATACAAGACACAAACTTTATGAGAAGTACAGTATATTCTTTCAAAAAAAGATGCTGGTGCCCTATCTCAAAAACAAAACAACAAAAAAGAGATCACCGTTGACATTCTACCTGTATATATTTAATAGATTTATCAGAAACAGATGCACATATATATGTATAACTATAGCTATGCCACCAAAGAGAGATTTAGAAGACAAAGTACGTAGCAGGGGTTGGGAAAGACATGATTCTATCTGAGGAAGGGAGATGCACTTTAATCAGATACCAGCTACAGGACGACTGGTTCATTCTCATCAAAATAGACCTCCACAGCAAATTGTGAACTGTAAATTTTCCATGTTTTTGGTTTATGGAGATTGTCCAGTTCATTTCTTGGTAGATAAAGCCTAAGGGTAGAAGAACATGATTGCATTTTACATTAATTAATTGTGGTGCTAGAGATAGAAACCCAGGGCCTTTTCATAGAGCTATATCCCTGGCCTTTTTATTCTTTTTAATTTTGGAACAAGGACTTGCTAAGTTGTCCTGGTTGGAATCAAACGTGATTCTCTGATCCAGCCTTCTAGAGTGCTGGCATTACTAGTGTGTGCCAACGTGCCCAGTTCACATTTTATCTGAGAGCTAACACAAAAGCCATGCAGTAGGGCAGCTTCGTTGCAGCTTTAGAAAAAGACTTGCTCACCACGATTAAGACCTCAGCCTTTTTTGTGTGTTTGTTGGTTCCTTCTACCTCTGTGAAGAGATGCAAAATACCTTAATCTTCAGTAACAAGCATGTCAGTAACATGTTACAGAGTCTTTTAACATTGCCTCTCATGGAATTAACAATATTAAGGTTTAATATATCTAAATTTTTGTGAGAGAAATCAGCCAGAGACTAGATGTGTAATAAAACCTGGAGATAAAATACTGTTTCTCTTTTAAATGATGAAGTTGGTGTTTTTCCTAACTTTACCAAGCAATATGTGAAATAAAATGTCGCAAATATCTGTAGAAACATATAAAAGTGACAATAAAAAGGATCTAATGTGTTGCTTCTAAATATGAAGATGGTATTTATTTATTTTATTTTTTTTTTTGTTTTTGGCTTTTCTCCGGTACCGGGAACCGAACTCACGACCTTGCACTTGCCAGGCAGGCGCTTTGCCGCTGAGCTAAATCCCCAGCCCGAAGATGGTATTTAAAAGGACAAAAGTATCCTTTAGCCAGAACTACTTTTGAGAAATAGCAAATGAAGCTCCACCTAGTTTTCTCTATTGGAGAGAGCCAAAATTCACTGTGTTCATGCAGAAAAAAAGTGGTAAATTTACAAAGAGAAAAAGCCCCACAAAAAAACACCCCGGCCAGGGAGGTAGCTCAATGGTCTAGCACTTGCCTGGCAAGCACAAGACCCTGGGTTCGATTCATGGTACAAAAAAAAGATAAATTTTTTCCATTAAATCCAAAGTTCACTCCCTCAAAATCTATGAAATGTGTCTGCGTTACAAATGTGCAGACCCAGTGTTCCTTTACTTGGCCTTATTAGACTTGAGCTGTTCTTAGATCCAGCACAGACTTGAAGAATCAAGTCTCTGATTGGATGTAGCAACAATGTCAACTCATGTTACATAGAATCACAAGCACTTCCTCAAGTCTGAGCTGAGCGATTTTTAAAGTATTTTTCCTTTTATATCAAGTGGCATGATAATATAAAAAAATTTCACTTTCTTGCCACTATTACAAAACTGTTTAAAATGGAGAATTTATAGACTCAGGAATGAGTTTCCAGATATGGTAGAAGGTTCTTTGGAATAATAATCTTCTTTTTCAGTTACTAATTCTTCCAGTTACTAATCCAGTTACTAATTCTTCCCAATTCAGTTACTAATTCTTCCCAATTCAGTTATTAGAAAATCATGTTTAAATATGAGACTGTAGGCGCACACACACACACACACACACACACACACACACACACACACACACCACGGAGACTGTTAAATGAATGACTTTCTAGTTGACTGCAGTAATAGTTATCATGTTTTATAGCTTTTGCTGTAGATACAGGTGTACCAACCAGCTTTTAATCTAGCAGCAGTCTCCCTCAATCACACGCTGTTTTAGCATAAAATTTGGTGGTCAGTCATCAGTACAGTAACACTTCCTGAGGACCTGCCATATTCAAGGTACTGAGCAGATGCATATTAAGCCTCCGCGGGAGGAGTTCGTTCTCACAGTCAGGATCTGAGCCTATCACATCTCACCTTACACTTGTGGGGCAGGGACATTGAGGCTAACCCAACAGCAAGCCTCAAGCACAGCTGTACTTTTAAAGTAATCACATTAAGATGAGTAAGGCCATGAAGAGCAGCGACTCAGAATTTTTCAGGTCCCTATAAACTAAATTTACGACGGTAGGCAAAAATCTTGTCGTTACACCTTACATTCAGACACTGAAGATTAAGCTGTTTCTATTCGATGACACTATGTCCCTACCTGTTTTTCTGTATAAAAGACGTGTGAAACCAAAAGAAAAAAGGGCAGTTGTCATAGTACTTGGGAAGCTCCTAAAAAGACATGGTTAAAGGAAAAAATAAAGGTTATTCTCATAATAAAATTGATACTTAATGATTATAAAGAGATTAAAATTATTTCTTTATATATTCATCAAATTGTGTCTATCAAATACAAGCACTCTGTAGTCTATAACTGACATTTAAGACACAAAGGAGGCTTTCAAAGGATGTTGTTTCTCTTGCTGTTTGTATCAAAATTTTCAAGGAAAGTATTTTTTGAGGGTTGGAAGACGTATTATCTTTATTTAATCGATAGTTTCAAATAAAATGTAAGGCACAGTGGAGAAAAACAGGTAAACTGGACTTCATTAAAATTTAAAAATTTTGTGCATTAAAAGAAAGGAACGGGTTGGGAAGCCATGGACCAGGAAGGAATGTTTGTAAATCATGCCTCTGAGGAAGATCTTTTATCCAGAATATATCAAAAACTTTTATAACTCATCAACAAAAAGACAACCCAAATAAAAAATGATCAAAGGATTTAAATGGACACTTCTCCAGATATTATATCCAGATGGCTGCCGAGCACATGAAGATTCTTAGTCACAAGAATGATACCACTGCACACCCACTAGGATCACCATAAAATAAAGCAAAACAGAAAAAAAAAAAAAAGCATCAGTGAGCATGCAGAGAACTGGAGTCCCTTGCACACGGCTAGAGGGAACATAAACTGGTGCAGCCATGGCGGAGAACAGTACAGCAGCCCCTCAATTCTGTAAATGTAGACTCACCATATGACAGGAATTCCACTTCCCAAAATGTATTTTTTCCAAGAATTTAGATACTAGTCATTTAATTTGTTTTTTGACAGTGCTAAACAGAATCTACTGAGGACCTATGCCTACTTATACCCAAACATATTGTAGTGAATTCTGAAAAGTTTATGTGGCCTTGGCATCTATTGTGAAAGTAAGTTAGACTTTCTCATACCAGAAACAAGGCTCGGTCACCCTGGGTGCAGGTTTTAGTTCGTGCTCCCCTCTCAATTCCTCGGTATGATCAACCCAGATATTTGCCTTATACAACCAATCTGCTGGTGAGCGCTTTCCTGTGGGACATCTAGGTACAACTTACTTATCTTGCTCCACTGTCCCCCATACTCAAGGGAATCTGTGCAAATATGTCATAGTGAATACTTCCCGGTCTCACTGCAACTCATGAAGCTCATGTCCATCTGCTTTAAACCCACCAGTTAGACCTTCCTGTGGGAAAGCTGCTAAGATTGGACTCCAATAAAGGCTTGGATCCTAGGTCTCTCTGTCTCCACTGCCCCCCGACTGCTGGTTGAACAGATATGTCTTGGATGGTTTCCCCCTTCCCACTGGCCCTGGGAGGTATGCTGCCCTCTCCTCTATGGGTTTTGTAAGTACTAAAGCACTTCTTCTGTTCTTTCATGTGCTTTGTTGCGTGACCTTCTCTCTGTCTCACCCGCCCAACACAGCAGAGCTTAGCTCTCCTCTCAGGCTCTCTAGGAGTGGCCATCTTAGTAGGAATAAATTAGACACAGATTAGACAAGGGTCACAAAGGCATCTCCCAGTATAAACACATTTCCTCAGAGAGGGACACCTGGTCACCAGTTGGACACTCAGGCATTAGGTTATCCACCAGGATAAAGAAGTATCCTGTGAGAGACACATTGCTAAGCAGCCATACGCACCTTGCCCGGAGCCCTGTCAAGGTAATGCTAGAATTTATATCCACTTTCCAGAGAGAGACCCAAAGACTAAGTTAGAAGAAAATATGACACGTATCATCCATTTCCACAAAGTGTAGCCACACTGAATAATTGATCATCAATACTGATAATCACAGAAGTACTTAAATACTTTGAAAGTGCTTTCATGTCATAACCTTGATAATCACAAAGACTAGATATTACCAAGGTTCCCCTGTTGTTTACACCATGGTTTCTGCATAGATTTCTATTTGAGAATTCAGAGTGGCTCCATATTCAAGGGGCATCTGTCAGATATGGAAACTATCCAGACCACTTGCTTCAGTCACTCAGTATTTAATAGATTCTCTTCCAACAGGGAGCCAGCAGAGGATTAAGGAAGGTACCAGAAATAAATTTTAAGTTGAGCAACTCCTTAGGCAGATTTAATAGGAAAATGAAACTATTGAGGGTTAGAAATGTTCTACATAAGAACTTACTTTTTGAATATTCAAAAATACTCAGGCATGACATTTTACAAATGGCCAACATAAATTACACACTAATGATATTCATAGTAATGACAGTGCAAGGCATTCTCATTTCTCATAAAGTAAAGAAGATTAACAAACACCGTTTGTAACATGTATCAATTCAAAGGAGACTAAAAGCTCCCTTGTTTTAAAATATTTTGTAAATGATGGACAACTGTATTTTTTAAAGATACCAAAATGTGACCACTTCTATACAGTTAAACGTATCCTTTTTTTAGCATCTTGTTTTTTGTGTTTTTTCTTATTTGAAAATTAATACACGTAAATTGCATAGAATTTAGAAAAAAGAATGAGCAAAATAAATATGTGTATTCTTCTTTTTATTTTTATTTTTTGTTTTTCTTCCGGTACCAGGAATCAAACTCATGACCTTGCACTTGCCAGGCAGGTGCTTTGCCACTGAGCTAAATCCCAAGCCCCTAGTCTTCTTTTTAAAAATCTCATAGTGGATCTGATTTATTCCTTTCCTCCCCCTGTCCCAGCCACTGATGGACTGCTATCATCTTCCTTGTTAGAAATTGTAACAAAAGAAATTCTGAACCAAAACCATTCGAAAGAATAGACAAGAAAAGTGGTAGACATTGTTTCTTAATTACTCACCGAAGATAAAAATTTCACTTTCACATCATCACACAGAGCTGGACAATTGAATATATTAATTATTACTCTGTCTGTTTCAACGTCGTGAAATATCTGTGAAGAAACACATGGAATTGAGAACTATAAACCTAGCTGCTAATGAGCAAGTACGATAGACAATGCGGTTGATTTTCACTTATCCAGGTTTCCTAGATTTATCAAGGACTCTTGGTGTCATAGTTCACTAATTTCATGTATAAATAAATGTTCATCATCTTTTCTCTGAAACTGCAATACTAGTGTTTAAAATGTAAAACACCTACATGTTTGAGGGTTATGAGCCCTGTTGGAAGGTAAAGTATTAAATTTTCCACTGGAGTTTAACCAAGTAAGTTTAACCATCAGTAACCATCTGGTATTCTTTTGTTTGGGACTTTTTTGCGGGGAGGACTTTTAAGAATGTACTAAGAAGCTTAGGGTTAAAGCTAACAATCAACATTCAAAAAGTAATGAATTAAAAGCAAGTAATGAATAACTGACTATGCTTTACCAAAAACCGTGTGTTGTTGATGAGACTATTGGCCTGTCCATTGCAGACTCATGGATGGAGTGAACAAAAATACGTGAAGTTTTTGGGATGAACGACTTTGAAGCTAACCTAAGTATCAACTTACACCACAAGGAGAAAGGTCTATGCTAGATCCTGTGAAAACTACAAAAGGAAGTTCAGACTCAGTCAGCCCCTTTAGGGAGCTGTACACAGAAGGAGCAGCAGTAGGATGGTACAGAAGAAGCAGCAGTAGGATGGATGTAAGCCTCAAGCAATAGTGAAGACTGTGCTGATGTCCAGCGAGGAACTGGGGGATGGCACCAGGAAGTATGGAGTGAGAAAGTATGGCTGAGGAAGGCAAGCTAGAGTTGGACATGTGGGTGGAACAGTCCCGATGTGGGAGGAAGGGCCAGTGAAAACATGAAGCAGAAATTACAACTGTGTTCCAAGAGCCCGAGGCAATGATATATTCCACTTGAGTGGAATCTGCAGGTCAAGTTACAGGTAGAAATACGTTCAGGCAAGTTTGGCTATTATGTCTTGCAAGCTCAAAAGCCAAGGAAATAAAAGTGAACTTGCTAAAGAAAACAGTGGGAATTTTCCTTTGTGAAAAAATGGCCTAGTAGTTATGTATAATATTTATTTAGTGATCTATAGTTCACAAAGTAACTTTATATATATTATTTAATTTAATTATTTAACACTTGCAATGTGATCTTCATTTTACAGATGAGAATGCTGAGCCAGGCGTGGTGGCGCATGTCTGTGATCCCAGGACTTGGGAGGTTGTGGCAGGGGGTCACCAAGAGTTCCAGACCATCCTGGGCTACACAGTGAGTTCAAGGCCATCCTGAACTACACTGGGAGACCCTGTCTCAAAAGAACAAAATGAAACAAAAATGTTGAGTCAAAGGAGTTAACTGCCTTTGACTCTGGACATGCTGTGTGCATTTTGCTTGACCTATAGCTCTTCACAATGAAAGCAATATTTACTTCATGCTGTATAATTCATTGTAGAATTACACATACCCTATCATCTAAGGAAAAAGACAAAGTTGAGCAATCATAGAAAACTTGGTATGAAGAAATGAGGTCCTGCACTAGGTCCATAGAAGGAGTGGGAAGATGAAGGGAGAATGAACAGAAATTTCAAATGTGTCATCAACAGGAATTGGTGATTAGTTGGATTTAGGGGGTCAAGGCAAGGTGAGAATAAAAGACGTATACCAAAGTTTCATCTGCACTAGCAGAGGAAAAGCTCAGTTGCTAAACTTGGATTGGCTAAGGTGTTTGAATCGTTGGGGTGGACACTGCCCATTTTATCACCCTTGCATCTAACCTTAAAGTATCTTTAAAACAAATACTGAATTTTCATTTCATATGATTCTTTTACCCAACAGTTTGTGCAAGACTAGGAAAAGATATGCAGTGAATCAAAGAATAGATGATAGTTTAAAGAAGAGCAATGGGCTTGGTGTGATTGCTTACACCTGTAATCCCAGCACTTGGGGGGCTGAGGCAGGAGGATTGCTGTAAATTTGAGGGCAGCATGGGCTATATAGTGAATTCAAGGCCAGCCTGAACTACATACCCTCTCTCCAAAAAAAAGACAGGTGTGGATGGGTCAGTGGATGAGCATAGACAAGAATAAAGTGTTTTTGAAGATAAGAATAGAAAGCTAAGGATCAGGCCTGTGTGAATGCCCTCAGATAGGGGAGGCCAAAACAAATGGGTGTGGGGAGAATAATGTGGATAACTTAAAACACGAGATCTATGAAAGAAATTTTCTTACTGTTTTAGAAAGGGTCTATAGTATTGAGCATGTCTTCAACATTTTAGCCAAGCATGGCCTTGCAGTCCCATTGCTTTGGGTACAGAGGTTTCTCCCCAGCCCTTACGTGTACTCCTGCACTGCTTCTCAGGGTGGAGTTCCCAGGACGTTGAGCTGCAGTCAGTGAGGACACTGTTAAACCACAGATGGCTGGGCCCCACTGCAGACTCCCGAGGTAATACTTAGGGAGTGTAGTTTAGCAGTGTGCGTCCTTATGAGCTCCTTAGTAATTTTCAGATACACTAAAATTTTAGAATCAATGCTATATAATTAAAGGTAAAAAGACCAAGAAGGTAATACAGCAAAAACTGGCCATTTAAATGAATTTGAAACCTTGTTAGGTCCCCGGGAATACGTGTCCAGTGTCTGGGAAAATGAAATACACTTCAGCTCAGGACCTGAGCTGAAGTGTATTCTGAGAATTGGCCTTAAAAAACTATTTTGAGCGATGAGGTAAAGGGAATTCTAATTTGCACCCAAAGTCAGCATCACCAAGGTGGACTGGGAACCCGAAAGATCATGGCGTGTCTGTGGGGGTAAATGATGTCTGGGAAAGTGGCCTGCTGACCGGCACTGAGATTTCAAACTAACACCAAATTTTCAGGTCATGTGCTTTCTCTTACCCTACAGTTTGTAGAAGAACAGGAAAAGACAATCTCCTGCTGCACTATTATCTGCACCTTTAGATCGCTTCCATTGCCTTTACCAACACCTAAGTACAATTAAAAAGATATGCTGGTTAAAACAAAGGCCAAAATGTCTTGCAATTAGCATTGTGGATTTAAAAGAGAAACACTGTACGATAGATGATAGAAAAGGGAAAGAAGTTGCTCAAAGGAAGGTATGACTGGGATGAGGGAAAGAAGAAAAGAGAAAGAAGGAAGGCAAAATATAAATATATATATGAATAGCTGTGATAACTATACTGCTGATGTCTCATGGTATATTGAAAGGAATAGTTAATGCTTAAAATTTTTTATGTTCTGATCAATTTTGCATGTTTGTGTCTGGTAATATGGGCAGCTGATTTGAAGGTAACAATATGCAATGGAATTACCATGGTGAATTCCTACCATCTTGTCTAGTGAAACTCTGTATTATCTCTAATGTTTTATCTAATAATTATTTTCTTATTCTTTTTAATGGTTTGAACAATCTTCCATTCTTACATCTGATAATCTGAGCAATGTAGTTGAAGATAGTGATATGCAATGTAACAACCACTGTTAATTTGTATTATTTTGTCTTGAAACCCTGGATCACTTTAAATGTTCTTGCTTTGGTTTGTTTACGTTCGTGATACTGGTATGCTGCTATTGTTCTATTTTTTGTTTGTTTGTGTCTCATTTACTACCTTCTCTAAAATAAAAAAATAAAAAATTTAAAGAAAGAGAAACGTAATCCCAGTTAGCAGTGTGGGGACATTTAATCATTTGGTCTTCCAAGGATTCTGTCGTTGCGTTGGTTGTATAGTGGTGAGCATAGCTGCCTTCCAAGGATTCTGTCTTTGAAAGAGAAGGAAGGCTTCAAGGCCAATTCTGACTCCCAAAGCAGGATGTTTTAGACTGGACAGAAAGGAAACAAACAAAAGCAAACATGTAGTTCAGCTTCTATGAGAATCCCGCTGCTTGACCTTTCTAGAAAGAAAGAAAGAAAAGAAATTCAGAAAGAAACAAAAGAAATTCAGTGGGGTGACTTGCAGCCCTTCTTGTTCATATGTTTCTTCCTTCACACTTCTAATGATGATTTTTTACATAACTGATCATCTAAATTCCTCTTGCCCTACTTTCAATCTAGCTTCTAAAACAATCTCTGAAAATATAGGCTAGCTACACCCAAGCAAGCATTCTTGTGGTGTTTAGTGCCCACTTACAGACAACTGGTTTCATTCTTTTTTCTGTCCAAACAACCCCACTTCTGTCAGTATTTCCCCAGAAACCTGGTTTCTGAAGCCTCCAGTTAACTTTTCCCCCTTTCCTTTCAATCTTGCATATTTGACCTTAATAAATATTCTAATAAAGTCGTGCATTTTTCTTCCTTTTTCATCTCATATTGTTTTCATTTAATTTTTTTTTGTGTGTGTGTGGTCTTTTTGAGACAGGGTTTCACTTTACAGTTCAGGCTGGCCTTGAACTCACTTTGTAGCCCAGGCTGGCCTCATACTCGAAGAGCTCCTCCTGCCTCAGCCTCCCGAGTGCTGGGATTACAAGCGTGCACCAGCACACCAGGCTTCATTTAATTTTATTCATTGGCACTCTGTTATCAATGTGTCATTAGGATCATTGTTTCTTGCCTCAGTTCCCTCTGTCCCATTCCAGCTGCAGACCTCCCCTCCACTGATATCCACCAGAAGTCAGTACAGTGGAGGAATAAATGAAACCAAAGAACTAATTCCCACATGACAAGGAATCAAGGAAGTATTGATTTAAATTCTCACACACTTCAACATTTTAAACCAAGTAAGCATAGCATTACTGGTAGGTGGTGGAAAACTTTACAAGAGGGGGGCTACTGGGAGGCTTGAGGGGAGTGCGGGCCGCGCTCTTGAAGAGGACCCTGGGACCCCGCCCCTCTTCTTCCTTTTGCATCCTGGCCAGGAGGTGAAGAGTTTGGTCCACCTCGCACCCTCCCTCTTGCCACAGGCCCAAAGCCGTGGGGCCAACTGATCACAGGCTGAAGCCGCCAAGCTGTGGGCCCAAATAAGCTTTTTATCTATGTAGACTGATGCATCACAAGCATTTGCTGCAGTAACAAAAGGCTAGCACAGACCGAGTGCTTGTTGTCTGTGCAGAGATTTGTAGGACATTGTTAACCCCACTCAGGTTTAATGCAGCTGTCAAACTACCGAGTTGCTTGTATAACTGGATTTAAATTTCTTAGTGGAGAAAAGTGCTCCAACAGCAGAATGTTAACTCTCACTCTGCAGAATAAAGCGGTCTGGATCCTTTTTCTTGGCTCACCAAGTGTGGAAAGGAAGGGGACCAAGACAATGCTGTTTCTAGACTCCTATCATCTGTCACACGAGGCTGCTGCCTCTCCCGTGAGAGGTCTGCCTCCAGTGGGGTCCTGCGCCAGTTCAAACGCAACACTTCTGCCCCTTACAATTCACATGGGTCCTGTGATGCAGCCTTGGTGGACTTTGTTCGGGAATTTGCAGTCTACAAAGCCTTTTCATGCACAGTTGCTCAAGAAGTCTCCGGCTAGAACAGCCTGGATTTCAAGACTCAGCCCGCACAAAGCTTGTTCAGAAATCTAGGCCCAAATCCCCCCAGAAACAATGGCTTGAAATTTGTTTTCTGCAGCCAAAAACCTTTGCAATCTGTTTGTAGTACTCCATTAAAATTCCCGGGGGGAAACTAACCTATGTCAATAATTTGAAAAAAGTATTTTACATTTTAGTGAGCAATTGTCCATTTATATTTTATCTTATTTTGTCTTTTTGAGATAGGGACTTGCTATGCAGTTCCGGCTGGCCTTGAGCTCACTTTGTAGCACAGGCTGGTCTCAAACTCACAACGATCCTCCTGCCTTAGCCTCCTGAGTGCTGGGATTACAGGTATGTGCCACCACACCCGGCTCCATTTATATGTAAATTTTTAAAAATATCCAAATAATTGGACAAAACGTCAAAAAAAAAAATATGTCTAGATCTTATTTTGTATGACTCCTCAGATGGCCAGACATCCTAGGATATGTGGGTGGATACTAGCACCCTGGGACCATGGGCCTACAATGTCTAGTGCTCAGCACCTCCCCCTGGCATAGGACTCGGCCGGCATAAAAGGTCTGCTCAGAAGCATCACCCTCCCGCTGCCTGCATCCCCTCCAGCTGAGACGTCCCTGTTCTCCTCCTCGCCTGAGAGTGAGCTGTGCGGCAGAAGCACAGCGAGTGATGGAGGCTGGTTCCTCTCCCTGTTTTTTCTCACATCCCAGAAAAAGACAGTCTGACCAGCTGTCTGCCTTCCTGGGTGATGGCGACTTTAGTCACAGCTTCTTCTCTTTCCTTACATTCTGGAAGCAGTTACATTGTCCGCTCCTTGGAAATCGGTAAGGACTTTTATTACTGGTCATACTTGGTTGCAGCTCGAGAGCTGGAAGAGGCGCCCAGCTTTCGCCTAACCGCTTCCATGTTCACGGAGATCCAGGATGGGGCAGGACAGAAGTGAGGCCTCTTAGGAAGGATTCTCACGCCTTCCCCTACTCTGTTCCAGCAGTGTGATCGGATGTTTATCTGTGCACCTACTTCTCTCTAGTGATCACCCGGGCCTCCCTAAGCGAAGGGAAGACTAGCACAGAACAGTTATGTGGCAACAAGTAAAGGAATGGAACCTGAAAGGTCTCCCCTGGGCTGGTGCCCGGGGAGCCATGAGATCAGGAGAGAAGAGAGAAGGAAGGCGCCCCCTACCGAATGATGAGGAAGGGAAGCAGAGGGACAGCAAAGAGGTGGCGATACAACCGCGCCTCGCCCGGCGGGGGGCAGTTCCAGGGGAGGAGTTCACGTGTGCGGAAATGGAACGAGACAGCCGTGGAGTTCAGATCATCTGTGTATCTAACTCTGAGCAAAACTCTCCCGGTTCGCGGGAACCCTGGCGCTCCGGCGCAATCCTTCTGCTGTAAATGCCGCACTTACCATGGATTGAATAAATGATGAACTTTCTTATTGTGAGTATTTTCCTTGGAGGGAGAGTCCAATTGTATACAGTTGTCAGTTTTTCAAAATATCCAACATATCGATTCTGTAAAGCAACAGAAGCCTTGATTTGAGTGGGATGAAAAGTCTAACGTCAGCATTCTTCGGTTTTTCCTTCCCTCCCTCCCCCTCCTTCTCACCGCCCCTTCCTCTCCCCTCCCCCTTTCCTTCTTTCTTTTTGCAAATAACTCCTTAAAGCACATTTATATTAAGGACACATTTATAGGGCACCATCGCATAACTCAGCATTTTAGTGTAGGCTGCCCCACGCTGTGGGTGAGGGACAGGGAAAGAACCAGTTCCTGGGCAAGGGCTGCCTGTATCGAGAGAGCCCGCGATCAGACCCAAGAACAAACACAGCCACAGTATCCACGTGGGGTATAAACTTCCCTGTGACCGAGTCAGAGGAAGGCTTGTGATTTGCCAGGGAGCAGCATCCCGGTCGTGGGAGAAGGGTATGAGAAGACCACAGAGGAAGACTTCCACGTGTCGCTAGCAGATTACACGTCATTCTGCTCCGTTCCTGCTGGACACAGTTTTTTTTTTTTCCCCTCACTTTCTGATTCTGCTTTTGCAAGGAAGCCCTGGAATTCTCTGAGCCTCATTATCCCCTCTGGAAAGCTGCTCACGAGGACTTCCTTGGCCTTTTCTTCAAGGGCTTGTGGAGTTCTGATACTGAATCAACTGGACAGCGCTAACAGGATCAAGTGGCATAATTTCCACTAGAAATGTAGCCGGCAAGGGGAAATGGGACTTTAAAAGTTAGGGTTTCTTTTTTCTTTAGAGATAAGCGGCTTCCCTAAACTTTCTCCGGCTGAGCCCATAGCCAGAACCCTCTTCTGCTCAGCCCAAAAGAAGTCACAGAACACAAAGATGCCGGCCCCAGGAGCCTGGCTTCTGCTCCATAAGAAAGAGGAGGATGAGCTGAAGATGGTGAGGAAGCAAGCGTGCGGGTCTGCACGGTCTCTCTGTGCCCTCGCCCCGTTCCTTACTATAGAAGACTCTAAACGGCGAGATGGTGATTTGAGGCGAATAGACCCCTGCATCTCCCCGGAGCTAGCTTGAAATAAATCCTTTCTCCTTTTAAACCAAATATATGGCCTGCTGTGATTTTGTCAGCAGTGAGCAGACTACCCTGAGTTATGAGCCTAAGTGGCAGTAACAGAAAGAAGCACAATGAAAAGGCTCTCGCAAGTCTAACGCAGGGGTCGATGCGATGTGGTCAGTATGAAGAAACACACACACACACACACACACGCACACACACACACAAATATATATGTGTATATATATATGAAGAACCACACGGAATGTGGCAGTGTCTAAAAATTGTCAACCGCCAGAGGGCGCTCTGTCCGGGCCTAACCCCACCAACGTCAAACCCACTGCGGAGTCCTTGAGCTGTTTCTGCTGCCAGAGAATCAGAAGCCATACTGGGCGTGGCCTAGGTATGCTAGCTCTGAGCTAAAGTTCGGGAAACTGGATGATTGCGGAATAAACCGGGAAGGGAAGGTGCGTGGGGAGGGCTGCTGAAGTGGATACATTTAACATCCTCCCGGCTTCTGTCGCCAGACTCCACCTTGCACTAAAGGAGAAAACCCACTAGGGCACTCGAGGTGCTTTTCCTGCCACACTTCCTTCTTGGGAAGTTGATACCCACCCGCAGTAGGCACTCACTACAGACTAAGACGATACGGGGTGGGGGACATCAAGGCACTGGAATGTGGGTGGTACAAAGACTGGGGAGACGCGGGCTTCTCCTTGAAAGCAGAAATAAAATCCCCACTTGAAGCAACTAGAAGATAATGTACAGTGACTTAGTCTCCAAAGAAACACAAAAGGCTGTAAGAACTGACGAAGCAAGAGTCGATTTCAGGCTGGGAAGGGCGAGAGACTCAGCCGGCGTGAAGGTGTAAAGCGTCGACAGGACTGGAAGCAGCGAAATGTCTAACGTGCACTAGACCGTGGGTGTGCGAAGACCGTCGTGAGAGAACCTCTGACCTTTCTGTTAGAGGACCGGCTTTAAACATTAGTTTGTCGCCACAACGGCAAGGAGCCAGCATGGATTTTGAGCATGGGAATGGCATGATTAGAGCTGAACTTTGTAAGTTCACATACAACTTTAAGCTTATGGGGAGCACTCTGGAACCCCACTTTCGGCGCCCACCAGAAAGCCATTTTTCTTCTTCTTACTTCCAATAAATATTCTCCTAACTTCTTCCTTTTCATCCTGGGATTCATTCTTTGACTTAGTAAGATAACAGGCTCAATTTGTAAGGTGATAGCTGTTTGATAGTTTTCAGTTTTTACGCTAGACGCCATTCAGAGATACTTGTGGGACAAAATGATCTGATGACCGGCATTTCTTTATAGTAATCTAAGTTGAGGGCAGGAAAAGGTGGGGGGTGGGACTGAGGAGAGTGGGGAGGGGACAGGAGAAACATGGTTGGTTCTGGGTTGATACGATGACTCTAAAGAGATTTATTATATGATCCTCTTGACTTTTGTACATGCTTGAAAATTCCCATAATAAAATGGTTTGGGGCATATATTTCACATGGGTGTTACAAGTATTAAATGAGATATATGTAAAAATGCAACAGCATCTGCTGTATAATAGGACTTTTGAAAATATTTTCCCCTTTCATTCTTTTTCAAAATATAATCTCTCTCTCTCTCCTCTCTCTCTCAAGAGAAGTCATCTAGAAATGATCTTTGTGATATTCTCCTGGAGGGTTCAATTGCTTATTGACTTTGTAGGGGTCTATAAAAGACTCAGTTCCTCTTTACAGGAAAACCAAAGGCTGGTGACTTTAGATAATGTGCAGGGGTTTGGAAACTTAGGTATTGGATCTTATTACTTGGGAGGGAAACCATCTTTTTTCTTTTCTTTTTTTAGTTTTTTTTGAGACAGAGTCTCTCATTATGTCATTCAGGCTGTCCTTGAATTTGCTGGCCTCGAACTTGCAGTGATCCTCCTGCCTCAGCCTCCCAAAGTGCTAGGATTACAAGCATGCATCACCACGCCCAGCTGGAAAATCACCTCTTGAACAAGAACAAATAGCAAATGGGAAGCAGACTGCTCAGGGGAGAGCACAGTGCTATCCAAGCAAAGACAGGTCTTAAAACCTGACTCTGTAAGGGATCAACGCCGACTTCAGGGTGCCTAAGTGTGGCTGCCCATCGCCAAGGAAGAACCTAAAAAACCCCAATACCAGGTGCCAATCCTAACCCACTGCTCTAAAAATTTCCCCTTTAGAAAGAAAGCTTACCTGAGAAGGAGTTTCTATTCCTTGAAATTTAGTGCTGCTGGTTTTATCTGTTCGTCGTTCCCCAAAATAATGAATGCTGTCCTATAAAAAAGGGGGCAATTCAACAGCGGCTGCACAGCACTGTCCCTTCTCCTATGGTATACCTTGTTAAAATCTCTGCAGGCACCTTATTTCCTTAAGCCAGCAGCATTTGTGCAGAGGCTACCCAAAATTACAAAATTAATACAGACACAAAACTTCTCCAGTTCAAAATTCATAGAGACATGGAATTTGAGAGTTAGAAAGCCTTAGAAATTCGGTTTTTTTTTGGTCTTTTTGAGACAGTGTCGTGCTATACAGTCCAGGCTGGCCTTGAATTCACTTTGTAGCCCAGGCTACAAAACAATCACAATGATCGTCCTGCTTCAGCCTCCTCAGTACTGAGATTACAGGTGTGCACCACCATGCCCAGCACCTCAGAAACTCTGTGGTCCAAACTTTCTTCCTACATTCCATTTTATAGACTAGAAGACTGAGCTCAGAAGAAAACACATAGGCCATTATGGATATGGTGCAGCCACTTAGAAGTAGCGCAGGCCTGCAGCGTAAGTGCCTAGCTATCAGTCCAGAGCTCTGGATCAGTGGCTTTCAAACGTTCTATTTTTGAAACAACAGCCCATATTATTAAACCTATCTCTCTCTCACACATAGAGCACTTATCTTTAACACTTTCTATTCTGCTGTATTCTTTTATATTTAAAAATGCTAATCAAAATCCAGTAATTCAATTTTATAACTCACTGATGACAGTGTATACTTTGAAAACCACCATGCTAGAACACCATTTGTTTGTTTTCCCTCCCTCCCTCCCTGCCCCTCCCCATGTCCTCAGCACTGGTCCTGCTGACCCAGCCCAAGGACCACCCACATAGTGCTATGGCCCGGGGAGGGTATGGGGATAGAACATCCACTTGCAAAAGCTTTGCATCTCAAATTAGAAATCAGAGAAGCGGAAGGTGGGATTAGAGAGCTGGGCCTGGTGCAGAATTCACAGCTTCTCTTCTCTAAACTACAGGCCAAGAGATGAGAAGAGTTGCTGGGGGTATGTCCTGTAAATGGCAACTTCTCAGCCAGACTGTGACAGTAAGACAACTCAGAACCCTGCTTGAAGAGATACAAACAGCTCACTTTGTTTCCAAAGAAATATCTCCCAAATACCCACCAACACAGGAGTGAATAAAAAAGGTGTGGTCTTTTTATACAATGGAGTACTACTCAGCTATGAAGAAAGATAAACATGAGGCTTTTATAGGTAAATGGATGCAATTGGAGACCATACTCATGAGTGAAATACACCAGACCCACATGTGTAAACGTTGTATTGTCTCCCTAGTGAAAGAAACTGAATGAGTAAATAAGGTCCAAAATGTACAATACATATTGGGAAAGGGAAAAAAAAAAAAACTGCTCAAAAGGAAAGAACTGGGATGTGGAGAGAGGAGAAAAGAAGGAAGAGAAAAGTATTCATATATACATGATAGCTAAGATAATTGTACTATTAATTTCTATTAGTTCATTGAATGGAACAGTGTTTATATTGTATGATCAATTTTGCATACCTGTACTTGGTAATCTGAGCAGCTGAGATAACAATATATAATATAATAAGCATTGTTAATTTCCTACCTTATTTTAAAATTCTGTATCATTTTTATTATATTTTTTCTATTTAAAATTAAAAAGGAAATATCTAGAGGTGACGATGTACTAACTATGCAGAAATAACTATATACCTGAAAAACTATGTTCTGGGTTGGAATATAAGTCAACTTAACAATTCTAAGGATGGTCCAGGCCCTTTGGAGAGCTTATCTAATTAATCTGGGTATTCTTCTTCTTCTTTTTCGTGGAAAAAGGTAAAAAAAAAATCATAACAAAATAATAGGAGAATAACAATAGTTAGTACATTGAGTATTGTTATTTTTAAAGTAGTTAATCAGAGTACAAGATATGGACATAAAAAATTCTCCATACAATATTAGCATAAACCTTCTTTTTTCAATGAACTAAGAGACACTAGTAGTATATCCATCTTGTATTTTGCTTTTTTTCCTTTTCCCTTCTTTTCCCCTCCCCCCTCATCCTAGTTCCTTTTTACTTTAGAATAATTTTTTCTCATTTCACAATATCTATTGTTCATTTTGGACCTTATTTACTCATTTTGTTCCTCACACCAGAGAGACAATATGATGTTTACACATGAGAGATTTATTTCACTTATGAGTATGGTCTCTATGTGCATTCATTCACCTGCAAAAGTCTCAAGGTTATCCTTTTTTATGGCAGAGTAGTATTCCATTGTATAAAAAGCCATCTTTTTTTTATCCATTCCTCAGTTGATGGGCATTTGGATTGTTTCCACAGATATTACAAATTGTGCTGCTATAAACATGGGTGCACATATATTGCTGTGGTATGATGCTTTTAATTCTTTCTGAAGATACCCAGAAAAGGAATCGCTGGGTTGAGTGGAATCTCTAGCCCTAGTATTTGAGGAATCTTCATACCAACTTCCACAGTGATTGCACCAGTCTGTACTCTGACCAACAGTGGCAAAGAGTTCCTTTTCCCCTATAGCACATTCAGCATTTGTGATTGGTTGATTTCTTGATGACAGCCATTCTTTCTGGAGTGAGATGGAATCTCAGGGTTGTTTTAATTTGCATCTCTTGAATAACCAATGATGTTGAACATTATTTCGTATATTTATTTGCCATCTGTATTTCTTCATCTGAAAAGTGCATATTCATCTCAGATCCCCGTTTTTGGATTGGGTGTTTGAAATCGGGGGGACCTGATTTTTTTCAATTCTTTATATGTTCTAAATACAAGTGTTTTGTTTGAGGGACAATTGGTTAAATTTTTTTCCTACTCTATGAGTTTTCTTTTTATTCTGTTGATTTCTTTTGATATGCAAAAGATTTTTTTTAATAAGATGAGACCCAAGTTGTTGATTCTTTGAAGTATTTCCCATGTGGTCTGGGTTTTGTTTCTGAGGTTTCTGTCTACACCTATGTCTTCAAGATTTCTACCTACTTTCTCTTCCAGTAGATTTAGTATTTCTGTTTTAATATTTAGCTCTTTGATTCATTTTGACTTTATTTTAGTGGTGGTGATAGACATGGGTCTAGTTTTAGTCTTTAGCATGTGAAAGCCAGTTTTTCCATCACCATTTATTAAAGAGGCTATTTTTTTCCAGTGAACACGTTTGGCCCCTTTGTCAAAGATAAGGTGGCTGAAGTGGTTGTAGTTGTGTCTGCATCTTCTAATCTGTTCCACTGGTCCTCAGGTCTGTTTTTTGCCAGTACCATGCTGATTTTATCACAGTAGCTTTGCAGTATAACTTTGAGTCTGGGATTGTGATTCCCCCTGCCTTGCATTTGTTTCCCAGAATTGCTTTTGCTATTCTAGGTCTCTTCTGTTTCCAAATGAATTTTAGGAATGTTTTCTCTAGTTCTGTGAGGTATCCTAATGGTATTTTGATCGAGATTGTATTATATCTGTATAACAATTTGGGGAGTATGGCCATTTTCACAATGTTGGTTCTTCCTATCCATGAGCAAGGGATATTTTTCCATTTTCTGATATCCTCTTTGATCTTTTTCAGAGAACTATAATTTTAAGTGTATAGATCTTTCACTTCCTTTGTCAGATTGATTCTTACATATTCATTTTTTGGATGCTATTGTGAAGGGTGTGGCTTCCCTAATTTCTCTCTCAGTGAGTTTGTTATTTGTGTTCAGGAAAGCTATTGATTTTTGAATGTTAACTTTGTATCCAGCTGCACTACTGAATTTGATTACTAATTCTGCAAGCCTTTTAGTGGAGTTTTTGGAGTCTTCTATATAGACAATCATGTCATCTGTGAGTAATGATAATTTCACTTCTTCCTTTCCTATCCTTATGCCTTTTATTTCTTGTTCTTGTCTAATTACTCTAACTAATTTAATAGGAGTGGTGATAGTGGACAACCCTGTCTTGTTCCTGACTTTAGAATGAAAGCTTTCAGTTTTTGATCGCTTAGTATGATGTTGGTTGTTGGTTTGTCATAGATGGCTTTTATAAGATTGAGATAAAGACCACATATTCCAATTTTCTGTAGGGATTTTTATCATGAATGGGTGTTGGACTTTGTCAAATTCTCCTTCTGCATCTCTCAATATGATCATATGAATTTTGTCCTTTGCTGTATCGATACATTTATTACACTTATTAATCTGTATATGTTGAACTAACCCTGCATACCTGGAATGAATCCTACTTGGTTATGGTATAATCTTCTTGATGGTTTGCTGAATTCTGCTTGCCAGTATCTTATTGAGGATTTTTGCATCTATGTTCATTAGGGAGATTTGCTTGTAATTCTCTTTTTTGGTTGGATCCCTCTCTGGTTTTGGTATCAGGGTAATGCTTGCTTCCAGGAATGAGTTTGAAAGTATTGCTTCCGTTTATAATTCACTAAAGCGTTTGAAGAATGCCTTAGATCCTCTCTAAATTTCTTCTAGAAATTAGCTCTCTATCCATCAGGACCTATGCTTTTCTTTGTTGGTAGGTTTTTAATTACATTTTCAATTACATTGACTGATATTGGGTTATTTAGAATTTTTATATATCTTGATTTAGCTTTGGTAGTTCATATGTATCTAGGAATCTATCTATTTCATCTGTATTTCCCCATTTTATTAGAATAAAGTTTCTCAAAGTAGGAATTGATAATGTTCTGGATTTCTGCAGGATCTGTTGTGATTTTACCCTTTTCATTCCTAATTGTGTGAATTTGTCTTTTCTTTCACTTTTTTGATATGGTTGGCTAAGGGTTCATCAATTTTATTTACTCTTTCAAAGAACTAACTCTCTGATTCATTGATTCTTTGCATTATTTTCTTAGTCTTAATTGCATTAATTTCTGCTCTGATCTTTATAATTTCTTCCCTTTTATGAGATTTGGGTTTGTCTTGTTCTTCTCTTTCTAGAGGTTTGAGAGTCAACACTGCGTTATTTATTTGAACAACTTCTGTCTTCCTGATATGGGTATTCACCACTATATATTTCCCTCTTAGAACTGCTGTCATTGAATCCCATAAGTTCTGATATGTTGCACTGGAATTATCATTTAGTTGTAGATGCTCTTTAATTTCTTCTTTAATTTCATCTGTGACCCATTAGTTGTTCAGTAGGGTATTATTTAATTTCCATGTATTTCTGGAGTTTTTGTGGTTTCTTTTGCCATTGATTTCCAGTTTCATTGCACTACAGTCAGATAACATGCGTGAGATAATTTCAGTTCCTTTGTATTTACTTACATATGTTCTATGAGCTAGTACATGGTCTATTTTGGAGAACAACCCATGTGCAGCTGAGACGAATGTGTACTCTGATGTTGTGGAGTGCATCACTGTGTAGACATCTATTAAGTCCATGTGTTCACAGGTTTGGTTCTGTTCTGATATTTCTTTATTGATTTTTTTGTCTAGTTAATCTACCTATTTGTGATAATGGGGCGTTAACATCGTCCATTGCAATTGTGTTAGTGCTTATTTGATTTTTTAGTGTCCATTAATATTTGTTTTCTATAGTTGGGTGCTCCTGTATTTGGTGCACATATATTTATGATTGTAATCTCTTCTTAAAGTTTTCCCTTAACAAGAATGTAATGATCTTCTTTATCTCTTTTGATCTATCTTGGCTTGAAGTTCACATTGTCTGCAAATAGAAGAGCTACCCCTGCTTTTCTCTGGGTTCCTGTCATATGGAATATTATTTTCCATCCTTTGACTCTTAGTCTGTGAATTTCTTTTCGAGTTAAATGTTTTTCTTCTATGCAGCATATTGTTGGATGTTGTTTCTTCATCCATTCTGCTGGCCTATTTCTTTTGATTGGTGAGTTGAGACCGTTTACACTGATGGTTATAACTGACATGTATTGGTTTATCCTTGTTGTATTATTATCTGCTGTTGGCTCCTTGTCCTTCCCCTGTTTAATTGCTTGCCCTGCCTGGTAGTTTATCCCTTTTGGTGTTCTTAGATTTCTGAACATTGTAATCTCTCTCTATATTATCTTTCAGAACGCATTATAGAGCTAGTTTGGTGGTCATGAATTTCTTCAGTTATTCTGTGTCATGGAAGTATTTTATTTCTCTATTAATTCTGAACGAGATTCTTCTTTCAAAAAAAAAAGATAAGGTCACACTATATATTCTAGGCTGGCCTTGAACTGACTGTGTAGCCCAGCCTGGACTCGAATACATGACAATCCTCCTATCTTAGCCTCCCAAGTGCTGGGATTACAGTCACCAGCCACCACATGTGGTTATTTGATATTCTTCTTGTGAAGAAGAAGGAAATTATTTTACCAGTGGCAAAGTGAATGAAGCATCTTGACTATTGATGTTTTTTGTATTTGTATAACTCATTTTACCCTAATCCTGCCCCTTCTAGGTCCTGCCTTCATTTAAAACATTGGTAATGTATATATCATGGATTTTTGGCATTAAGTTTTATTTTTAAAAATATTGCATTAAAATGTTATTTATGTCACCGAGATTTTTGGCATTCCAGTTAAATAGGAAATATCAAACCAGACTTTCTAAAATCTACTTCTGTAATTTCACTTAGCATTATTATTCAAATAACAATCTTTATAAAAATTAATTTTATTGATACCCTTTTGACATGCAGAATGATCATATTCATCATAGGGAATGTGTACTTGTACATCATATATTGTAATGTTTTTCATTCCCTTCCCTCTCCTTCAATCCTTCTTCTCCTCTCCCTTTATAAAACTTTGTTTCTATTATTTTTCTTCTTTTTTTGTATGTCTTTGTTTTATTCCTAATCCATCCCTTCCCTTCCCTACCCCCACTCCCTTGTTCCCCTTTCCATTTGAACATTTTCTTCTTACTTCCCTATATCTACACTCTATTTTGGTCCTTATTTGCCCTCAAGAGTAATCTTAATGTTCTCCCAGTGATATTTCAGAAATAGCCAATTCAGTCAATAAGATAGAATACACAGTAGCATCTGGCATACCTTTGCAGTTAAAAACAATCCACAGGCAATGAGGCAGGTGCAAACCATAGTTCCAGTTCTTCCTAGAAAAGAAAGGATGTTAGTTCAAGGGACTATGGTTCAGTGGAGTGGTAGGTGTAAAGATATGCTCAGAAACACTCAGACTGCATTTCGTATTGATTTTCTTCACTCTGAATGTAGTTTTGATTCAGAATTAGCCGAAGATGTTTTCCTCTGGAGTTCAGTGTCCTAACTGCGGGCATGGTACATATTTTTCCTCAATCCCTAAAGTTGAGCAATGTAGTAAGGAAGATGCAATCAGCTCTCTTCTAGAACTCTAAAGCTAAAGCTGTACTTACTCATTAAGAACTAATTACACTCCCTGCTTTTGTAACTAACATAAATAAAATACCAGTGAAAGACAAAGAACCCAAAACATCATCTAGCATTTGAAATACTTATTATTCCTTCCATTTTAGCTAAGGCTTTTTAATTGTATGGGAACAGTTTTCAAGCATAACGAATACAAAGAGAACAGTATAAAAAGCCCTCATGTACCTGTGGCCAGGACTCTGTGATTAGCAGCATTTTATTATACTTCTTAAACTGCTCTTTTTCCTTCCCTGCCTTCTTCCCTCTGTTTTCCTTTCTGCTGCAGCACGTTAAAGCAAATCTCTGACTTCATGCATCATGTCACTTCATCTTGAAAGGCTTTTATTTTTATTCTAATTTATATTTTTATTCTGTCTATAAAAATTTCACTTTGAAAACAAAGTTGCTTTTTTTATACAACAATCTGTGGCTTTTGACCTAGGCAAGACACACTGATCTTAATCGTGTAATTCCAAACATTTTTTTTACCCAAGTCACTAAATTTTGTTTTTAAAAAAGTTAATGACACACTAAACTGACGTTGCAGCTAACAATTTGAATAACACTATTCTCAGCTAGGTACTTTTAAAGAGGCATTTATACCACTTCTTACCATGATTAAAAAAAAAAACAACTTCTTATTCCAAGAGGGTACTAACCATTTAGCATCCTGCCTCTCAGATACTTTGACTGTTAACATTTCATTTATGGATGATATCTCTGAGTCTCTGTAACTCTGATTTTTTTCCCAGTTGAAAGAAACTTGGAAATTTCCTTTGCCAGTTATACCATAATCAGAATCCAGCAAGCAGATAAAGCAAGGATTCATAAAAATGCTATATACCCAAATGTGCTTTAGATATTTTACTATACTTCAGACATAAATGTACTTTCATTCACTAAACTTCTGATATTGGACAAAAGCTTTAACTTTTAACATGTGAGTTCTTTCTTGGAAAAGTCTGTGGGTAAGTAGGTAAATAAATAAATTACTTTGAAGCAAATGATGTGGGGGAGGAGAAGGAAAGGGAAGGAATCCAAAAATAACTACAAATATATTAACACGTTTCAACAACCTCACAACTTCTCTCCATCTATGATACTTCTTCTCCTCTGCATCCTTTCTCCTGCATCCACAAATGTTCTGTCAGTTCCCCTAAACACTAACCCTCAACTCCAGCTATAACATAATGTTTTTTTATTACTTGTTATTTTCTTTAATTGTTTGATCAATCTTGCATTCTTACATCTGGTAATCTTCGTTGAAGATAACAATATGTAATATAACAACTATTGTTCATTCCTGTCATCTTGTTTTGAAATTGTGTATCATTTTAAAATTGTTTTTGTGTTGTTTTGTTTTCATTGTTGTTCTTTTGTTATTGTCTTTTTCTCTTTAAAGTAAAATAAAAAATACCCCCAAGAGTCTGACTTCCTATTTTTCACTGATGTTTCTCTTATCTCCCTCTCCATTTGCCCCATTTCTTTTCCCATTCCTCTTTCCTTCCCTTCTCCCTCCACAAGCCAGACCAAATGTCAATAGCAGTATAGTACAGTCTATAAGGGGCCCTGATAGAGGGGCAAAATTGTCAAAACAAATTTTGATTGATGTATGGTTGGACATGTGGATGGTGTTATAACCAGGAAAAATGATCTTCTTATAACAGAGTTAAGTCTTATACAATCAAATTAAATAGGCTGAAGTGGTGGATAATACCTCTTGACAGATAAAGCCAAGATCACATCACTGGAAAACAGAACCTAACTAATGAAATCTTCATACCAACAAGGTCTCTTTGTTTGACTTCAAACCTCAACACACACACACACACACACACACACACACACACACACACAGAACATAAAAAAACAAGGCAACAAATTGCCTATGTAGACTCCTAATTCTCCCAAAACAGATGCAAGAGGCATTGATGGAGAGGAACTGAAACACTAAACAGCTGAGCTGTACAAAATGATCAACAAGGAAGCAAAGAAGCTGAGCAAACTCAAAAATAATATTGCCAGTTAGATGGTGGAACTAACAAACAAATTGACCAATGTGGTTAAAGATGAGTCAAATACAAGATTGGAAGAGCTAGTCAAATTATTCAAAACATGAATAACAAATTTTCCAAAGACATAGAGTCCATTAATGAGTACTAAACAGAAATCTCGGAGATGAAGAATTTTCTTGAATACAGATACTTCTCACTTAAAGACCTACCTGTTTATTTATATGTTTATTTTGGTGGATTTTTTGAGACAAAGTCTCTCTCTATAGTCCATGCTGGGCTTGAACTCATTATGTAGCTCAGGCTGGCCTTGAACTTAGGGCAATCCTCCTACCTCAGTCTCCCAAATGCTGGGATTACAGGCATGAAGCATCATACTCTGAACAACCTTCCTGTTTAATGACTGTTGTAACTTACAACCAAGGCAGGCTGTTCAGATTTATCACCTTCTGCTTGGACTATATATATATATATATATATATATATATATAGAGAGAGAGAGAGAGAGAGAGAGAGAGAGAGAGAGAGAGAGAGAGAGAATAGTTCTGTAATCTTGTTTATAGTGCCTCCATAGTGCTTCTTCTTTCTCCCCTTTTTTACAGTATACCTTGTTCATACAATACTGTAATTTTTGCTGATTTTACTATACGGTAGTTTTACATTCTGTTATATATTGCAGTTACTGCATGGAAGAGTTAAACAAATAAAAGAAAAAATCATCAAGTTGGAGTTTCCTTTGACCATTTCTTTGTTCTGAATATCGTAATGTACATACTATATACAATTCCTCATTTAGTGAATTTATCTAATGATCTAGCTGCAAGAATGTAATTCAGTAATTTCAAAAAGAGTATCTATATATGAACAATAGAAGTGAGAAATGTGAGGGCAGAGTGTCAGACTTAAGAAGTTAGTGTAAACACAAGGCAATATTCTCAGAGATACCTTAAAAACAATAGAAGACCAAAGAAAATGGTCCAACTGCTACTAGATGATGCTAAGACTAACCATAGAGTAATTATAGCTAGAGAAAAATTAGAGGGTGCGTGCACAGTATAAAAAATCTATTTAGAGAAATCATAGCAAGAAAAATCCAAGCACATGGAAAGAACTCAATATGCAAGTAAGATACATTTATAAAACTCCACATAATTATGATGGAAGAAGAAGCTTCCCACAACACATCACAGTCAAAATCCTCAAAGTCCAAGACAAAAAGGGAATCTGAAAAGCTGTCAGAGAAAAGAAAAAAAATCATTTATAAAAGCAAATCCATTAGGATTACAGTAGACTTCAGCACAAATTTTAAAGGCAAGGACAGCTTGGAATGAAGTATTTCATGCCCTAAAAGAAAACAAATTTTAACCTGGACTAATATATCCTGTAAAATTATCTTTCAAAATTGATTAAGAAATAAGGACATTCTAAGACAACCCTTTAGAAATGCATAACCACCAAATCAGCACTGTAAAAACCTCTCTAGAATATCCTAAAGACAATGATGTTAACAATGCCAAAAAGTGTAGAGGAATGAAAATATAAGCAGGGGGAGCTTAAACACAAATGGAAAAAAAAAGAAAATCAACAACATAAAAATAACTTAATGACAGGAATAAGTTAAGACCTTTCAGTAATAACTCTCAACATAAAAGCCCTCAACTAGCCAGTTTAAAAAAATAGACTGGCAGACTGTATCAAAACCAAAACCTTACAGTTTATTGCACACAAGAGACATATCTAATTTAAAAAGAAATTCCTAGGCTAAAAATCAAAATATAGAAAACAATATTCCATGCATCAGAATCTTGAAAGCAAGCAGGGATAGCAATCTTATTCTTAGATGAAGGGATTTCAAGTTAAAACTAGTCAGAAGAGGGGAAAAAAGGGCACTACATATTAGTTAAGGGAATAATTCAACAGGAAGGGATATGAATTGTGAATACATACACACCAAACACCAGTGCACCTAACATTATAAAACAAACACTACTGTACATAGAAGACCAAGTAAAAAACACAATCATAACGGATGATCTAAATTTCCCACTTTCACAAATAAGTGAACTAGACAAAAAAATCAACAAAGAAACATCAGAGTTGAACCACACCCTCAAACAGACTTACCAGATACATACAAAGTGTTCTACTCAATTACAACAGAATATAATTCTTTTCAGCAATACACATAACTTTCTCAAAAGCAGACCACATAGTAGCCAATAAAGTGTGCTTAAATAACTACAAAAGAATTGAAATTATCCTGTGCATGCCTTAGCAGATCATAGTACACTGAAACTAGAACTCAATCATTAAAGAGACTACAGAAACTTTGCAAACACTTGGACATTAAATAACATACTTCTGCATGCTCAATAGGTCACAAAAGAAATCACAGAAAAAATTAAACAATTCCTACAATTAAATCATAATGCCTATACAATATACCAGAACCTATGGAACACAATGAAAGCAGTCCTAACAAGGAAGTTTATTGCTATGAATACTTATATTTGAGTAAGCTCAAAGAAATAACCTAATGATGCACTTCAAGGACCTAGAAAAAGTAGAACAACCTAAACGCAAAGCTAGTACAAGAAAGGAAACCATAAAGATCAGAATGGAAATTAATGAAATTGAGACTAAGGAAATAATACAAAGAATCAATGACTCAAGGAGCTGATTCTTCAAAAGAATAAACA